TCAGAGCCGGTTGAAATTGTTGAAGCTATTGAAGCCGCTGAACCCTCAGAGCCGGTTGAAGTTGTTGAAGCTATTGAAGCCGCTGAACCCTCAGAGCCGGTTGAGACTGTCAAGCCTACAGTTAGGCGGATCGGTGGGAAGAAGAGCAAGTTTAGAAAGAATAGGAAAAAGAAGATAGATTCATCTTCTCGCGTTGAGCCTGAGCCTGGACCTGGGCCTGAACCTGAGCCCGAACCTGAGCCCGAACCTGAGTCAATAGCTCGGGACGAACCTGTCAAGCCAGAGCCTGAGCCAGCACCGTATGAGCCCGAGCCTGTTGAAGCTCCACCAAGCCCCAGGCCTCCGCCGAGTCCAAAGCCGTTTCTGGCTCCAAACCTCACTATCCATGCCAAAGTCTACGCGCTTGCGGGTAAATATGGCGTGGCTAGCCTCAAGCAGCTAGCATTGGAAAAGTTCACGGCGGAAACGGGTGAATACTGGATGACCATGGAATTTATTTCCGCGATCGACCAAGTGTTCAGTTCAACGGCTGAAAAAGACCGTGGGCTGCGAGACGTCGTTGTTCGGGCCTTGTTCGATCATTCGGAGCTGATGCTGGACCCGGACGTGCAGAATATCCTCAGGGAAGGGAGACAGCAGCATCGCAATCAAGGGTCGAATCTGACATTTGATCTGTTGATGTATATTCGGGAGCGGTTTTTTTAACCATCCACAAAGAAGATATTTATTTATTAGTACTAGCTGGAGGGATCTAACCCACGTACAGAGTAGTGAATCTTTAAGTGGTTAGTGAGTTATATATGATTGGGCATATTGTATGACTAATCGTCAAGTGGAGTCTATGCTTCTCTTAAACAGGTAAAGAGAAAGCCACTTTCCTTATTGAGACGCACGCCAAGACCAATCGGGCAGATCGTTTTATTTTTGGCAATCCACGACTGATTGGGATTGCTGGAATATGTACCCTGTAGTAGACTAAAGTCGATACTAAGTAGTAAGTGGAAGATATTAGATGAATTAGTATAGATGATGAGTACAGGGTGGCGCAGTCAAAATAGATCAATTGGGACGACATTCAGGGTCTGATCTACAGGGCCTGAAGCAGGGTCAACAGCATCGCGCCCCACCAATCCACTTGCCATGACCCTCAAAAGTAGCCATTGCTGGGGTTTATCCAAGGATAAGGACTCCATATCGTGTCTATCGTCTCATCAAACGGTCTGAGAGTGTGCACTGCCATCATCCAGTCCACCCAATCCACCGCCCTTGCGACTGTCATTGGGAGGCGAGGCGGAACCTCCTCTTGGCCTTCTGGGTCCTGTCAAACAGCCAAGAACGCATCGACGGATCCCTTGCACATCCAGACAAGGGGAAAAGCATGTTGGACGGGGGGATACAGACTCCAGAGGAGGCCTTGTTGTACCACCTCTCACTTGCATGGCCTGTGATTTGGGGAATTCCTGGCTGTGTGGAGTGGATTGGAAGAGCAAAAGAGGGTCGTCGTCTGTATTGCTCCTTCCTCATTCTTCCCTGCCACTTGAAATATTCCCTCTTCCTCCTTCTCTTCCTCCTCCCCCTCGTTGTTTTCTACTCTCGTTCTACGCACTCACACCGTCACTCGTTCCGGTGAATCGTCATTGTCATCCCTTTTTCCACCCCTGGTTACATTAATACCTTTTCATCTTCTTCTTCTTCTTCTTCTTCTTCTTCTATACCTTTGTTCGAATCAACTCGTCGAGTGTTTTGCGGAATCTCCAACTCTCGACCCGATAAAATGAAGGCGACATTCTCCTCCCTGGCAACGGCCATCACTCTGGGCGCCTCTGCTGTCCTTGCGAGTTCAGCAGTCAAGGCTCGGGATAGCAGCATCACTCCGATCACCGTCAAGGGCAATGCTTTTTTCCAGGGCGATAACCGCTTCTACATTCGTGGAGTCGACTACCAACCCGGCGGCTCCTCACAGCTGGAGGATCCCATCGCCGATGCAGATGTTTGCAAACGCGACATCGCCAAGTTCAAGGATCTGGGGCTCAACACCGTGCGTGTGTACTCGGTGGATAACTCCCAGGACCATGACGACTGTATGAACGCTCTCGCCGATGCCGGGATCTACCTGGTCCTCGACGTCAACACCCCCAAGTACTCCCTCAATAGGGCCCAGCCCAAGGAGTCTTACAACGATGTCTATCTCCAGTACATCTTTGCTACGGTCGAAATGTTTGCCAAGTATCCCAACACTCTGGCCTTCTTCTCTGGAAACGAGGTCATCAACGACGGCCCCTCCTCCGCCGCTGCTCCCTATGTCAAAGCCGTCACCCGTGATATTCGCCAGTATCTTCGTAGCCGCAATCTTCGCCAAGTTCCCGTCGGATATTCTGCTGTAAGTCCGAACCATTTACTTTCCCTCTTGCTTTTTGCATGCTGATCCATTCGCCAGGCCGATATCGACACCAACCGTCTTCAGATGGCAGAATATATGAACTGTGGTACCGACGATGAGCGTAGTGACTTCTTCGCTTTCAACGACTACTCATGGTGTGACCCCTCGTCCTTCACCACCTCCGGCTGGGATCAGAAGGTTAAGAATTTCACCGGCTACGGTCTGCCTCTCTTCCTGTCCGAGTACGGCTGCAACACCAACACCCGCAAGTTCGAGGAAGTCAGCGCTCTCTACTCCACCAAGATGACCGGCGTCTACTCTGGCGGCCTCGTGTACGAGTATTCCCAGGAGAGCAGCAACTATGGATTGGTCGAGGTTAGCGGCGACAATGTCACGACTCTTGCCGACTATGATGCCCTCAAGACGGCCTACAACAACACCCCCAACCCCTCAGGGGACGGAGGATACAACAAGACTGGCGGTGCCAGCGGTTGCCCCACCAAGGACGCCCCCAACTGGAACGTGGACGGTGATACCCTCCCTGCCATTCCTGCTCCCGCCAAGAAATACATGACTCAGGGTGCTGGCAAGGGAGTCGGTTTCTCTGGAGACGGTAGCCAGGACAAGGGCACCGCCTCCACGGGTACTGCAACTGCAGGCTCCGGCTCTGCTTCGTCCACTGGCTCTGCCTCTAGTTCTTCCTCCAAGGGTGCTGCCGCTGCTCTGCGTGTGCCGGGGACCGGTGTCGCGCCCATTGTGGTTGGAATGGTCACTGCCATGTTTAGCGTTCTTGGTGCTTCTCTTATCCTTTCCTAATTATTGACCGTTGCTTCTCAGCCTTTTTTTCTTTTCTTTTCTTTTTTTTTGGCGTCCTTCTTCCCTGCGGTAAACGGATGGCAGAATCTCATCTGTTCATGTTTATCTTTATCAGGTCTGGATTGTATAGTGGGTTCCAATCTAGGCCGGTCCGGCCTGTCTAGTTTGAGAGTAGTCCAGAACAGATAGTCAATAGACAGCTTCTGAGCTTACTCTTATGTGCTATTACAGCGAAAATCAGTAGGCAACTACCATTATATGTATATGTACGAGTGGAAGTTAATCATCTAACATCCAATAACCCCCTATTTCACGAAAAGTAGCCTCAAACCCCGGGACGATTTCATCCAAGGGCCTCGCCACGACCTGGTTGAGATCCGTACACATGGCGACAGGGAGATCGTCCGGGCGATTGGGGAGGTAAAGGGCTGGATCCCACTTGATGGCGACGTGGACGTTTTCGGCGGGGAGAGCGTCGTGCGGGGAACGTTTGTAGGCCTGGAAGATGCCGCCGCGGGAGTCGCGGGCCCAGCGGATGAGGTCGCGGGAGAGGGTCTTGATGAGACCGCCGTGGAGGAAGGCGACGCGGGAGTCGGATTCGTCTGGATGGTGTTGGGCGAAGGTGTGGCCGCAGTAATAGCTTAAATCTGCCTCTGCCTCAGCCTCAGCCTCTGCAGGAGTAGGTATAGGTGTAGGTGTAGTGTCTGAGAGGGTTCCGACCGAAGTGAGCCATTTGTGCGGGGCGCCGTAGCGGGTGTGCAAGGCATGCCAGGCGAAGCGGAACATATCTTTATCGCCGAGAAGGAAGGAATTGTAGTAATCTGCGTGTTGGTTGTTGAACCAGGCGGCGAGTTGCAGGTGGTAGAAGAAGCGGCGCTTGTCGACGAGCAGCTGGCCGCTCTCCTGCTCGTACTCGTCCATGCGGCAGCGGGTGTTGGTGATGGGCCAGATGGGGTTGTTTGGGCGGGTGCGTGCGATGTCCGGCCAGAAGAGCGTGCCGTACTCTGCGTACGTGGCGGAGTCGTACAGTTCCTCCGGGTCGATGACGGGGATGTTGTCCGAGTCAAGGAGGAGGGGCTGTGCGAAGCGCGAGTTGATCACCGCCGCCGTCTTGAGCTGGTAGTTGATGTAGAAGCCGTCGTGGTTGGTCTGGAGGATGTTTGACGCGGCCGACAGGTCGTTGAAGAAGAACATCCGCTGCGGCCACTGGTTCACCATGCTCTGCATTGCGTCCCAGCTCAGCTCGTCGTCCCAGTAGTGGATCTCGATGGGGAGATGCGACCCGAGTCTGTCCAGCGCGCGCAGGATCACCGCCACCCGCTTCATGCTCTGCTGGTTGCCGGCGACGATCACGATGCCGCGCTCCTGCACGAAGCGGTCCTTGTATTGCTCGTATGGTAGGAGATCATTGTTGATAAAGTCGTGCCACTCGGTTCGGCGCGCTTCCAGCTCGCTGTCACTTCGATCCTGCGCGGCCCAGTCCGTATTGTCGGCGTACTGGAAATTTACTTCGTGCATGGCCGGCCAATTGCACCCGGCCTTGGCCTCCGCCATCGTCATACCCGGTAGACGCGTGACGGCCTGGAAATGGGCCAGGAAGGAGTCCGCCGTGGGGAGTTTATGGGCGTCTTTGACGAGCTCTGTCTCGGGGTCAGGCTCAAACGCGGGGATCGTCACCAGTCCGTCCGCATCGGCTGCCGATGAGGGTTCCTGGAACAGATCTAGAGGAGTATTCGGTGGCAGTGTCGACTGAGCCTGAAGTTCTGCAGAGCGATCCGGCGCCCATACGTAAAAGAGACAGATCAGAGTAGTGAGAAGCACCGCCGCAGCGACTCTGGTCGGTCTCTTCGGAAAGGCCATCATGATACCCGTCCGTGGTGACGAGCGATTCGGCTCATTAGACTCTCCAACAGGCAATTGTATCTCGACAGTCACCGTCGCAAATCACGACAGCAGCAGCAGCAGCAGCAGCAGCAGCAGCAGCAGCAGAAGCAATAGCAGTAACAGCAAGTTGAAGCCATCCCCAGCTCTCGTGATGGAGGAATCCCAGGCACGTGAAGTGATCGCTGGCGCTAGGCTGCAACGGGCAGCCGAGGCTATTGCATGTGATTGGGGCTGTCAACATTATTATTATTATATCAGCTTGACAAAGTGAGAGAGTGTGTTAAAGGAACAGCTTGAGAGTGTGTAATCTGACAGCAGAGGCATCTCAATAGAACCTGGTGTTTAATGTCTTGAGTTTAGTTCAAAAAAATTCCAAGCCACAGACCCTTCCAAAGTACGGACGGGGTAGTACATAGGGACCTAGTACCTTACTACCTAGAGAGTTAGCGGCTAGCTAGTACATAAGGTAGACAGGTACCTCAGTTCCATGGAAAGTGGGCAAGCAGAATCGACATACCTCATTTGGACTAGACACTCCAGAGCTCCTGGAATGAATAGCATTTCTTCTAGTAGGAAGAGTAAGGAAAATGCCTCAGGTGAAAATGCCTCATAAACAGAGTGGAGATACGAATAATTAGTGGTTGAACCAATTGTGACTACCCCATTAGTTAACTATACTACAGAGTACTACATCTTTACCTAAACATCAACCTTAGTTTGACTGCTACCCCATGCCACTAGAAGCACAGCCACGCTGATCATACAGCTGGAATCGGATTTCCAGGTTGTAACCTAGTAATACTCACTAGATAACCAACTACCCAGTACATCTACTAACTAGTTAGTTATAGTTATACTGCTGAGCTAAAGCTTGGGCCGCAGAGGGGCGCAACCACACGATAAGCATCACACACAACATGCAGTCTGGTGGGTAGAAGCGATACTGAGTGGGCATCGACCAGGTCCTCTACGAGTAGAATGACATTCGCAGGTTGTTGTCTGTGCAGTGGAGGGACCTATGTAGCTTGTAGGTTGAGGCGATAGCCTCTCTCCCTAAAAGTCTCTCCAGTTTGCTACCCACGCTGTACGTCGCTCAACCAGGAATCTTTACCGCCAATTTCTTCTTGCGGCTGGCAACAAGCAATAAAAACCATGGCCCCATGTGCGGCCTGCTGGTGTGCGTGGGTTTGTGGCTGAAAGTCGTGGATGGTTTGTATGAGGGAATTATTCCCTCCCAGTGGTCGACTTTCTTACCTAAACACTCGCAGCGATCTCCCTTCTCGCTTCCACCAAGCGCAGTTGTCGCGCAATTAGCTTCGAGAGAGGAATAGTTTTAATCAAAAAAACGGGACAAACGGTGACCCTCTGGAACACTGACACACCCGTGGGCTTTTTTTTTCTCTTTTCCGCCGAGAGAAGGGCCCAGGAAAATCCCTCATGGATGACGCATCTGCTGGGCGGCCCAGGGCTTTTTTTTCTCGATAGCAGGAGATACAATGATACACTCGAGACGATACCGCTGGACCTGATCGGGACGAATCACACAGGCAAGCCCGTCTGTCTCATTTCGGGCCCGTTCCTGAGCTGGGGCTGTGAAGGAGAGAGCCACTTTTCGTTGGGAAAGACCGCCGACTGCCTCGCCGTGCTTGCCATGTCATCAACCGCAAATGGAGCAGGATATAAAACCCGTCGCGCTCGGTCTCTGCCATGGCGTATCTTTTCATACTACAAGGGATGCTCATCGACGGTCAGAAGTGGGCTTGTGAAGCTTGCGTTCGTGGTCACCGAGTGACGACGTGCAAACACCATGGTACCTCCTCCTCCTCCTCCTTGTTGTTCTCCTTATCGTTCTTCCAATCCTCTAATCAGCACTGCTATAGATCGACCGTTGATCCGCATCCAGCGAAAAGGTCGCCCCTTTTCCACTTGCCCCGTGTGCAACTGCACTCCCTGCTCCTCTCCCGAAGAGCACGCCAAGATCAGACGCGAGGCAGATTCCAAGTCTTCTTCAAAAGTAACGCACGACCAAAGGCAGATGTGGCAACTCCGAGCCAGAGACGCAAGAAAAAAAAAGAAAAAGAAAAATCAAGATTGAGAACGATCAGTTACTGATTGCTCTGATCTTAGAAAGCGGCAGGAAGACTATCCCGTTCCAGCAATAATGCTGGGTTTCTTCCCATCGCTCCGCGTCCAACCACAACCGACGTGAGCCCCAAGCAGCCACGTCCACTCCCCTCGCAGCAGCTTCTGTCTGCTCAGTCCGGTGTTCCAGTCACCATGGGCGGGCCCCATAGAGCAGCTCCTGTTGTGTCGGGACCTGGTCCTGGTCCCGTCGATCTGGTCCCCTCTTTTTCTTCTATTTCCAACGCCACCTCCATCCCCTCGTTTGTCGATCCCTTCCAGCATCCCGACGGCTTCCCGCTGATGAACCCGCCCTCTTTCATGGACAGCGGGCTCACGTATTTCGAAGACATGGATGAGTTCCCGGAAGGGATTCTACCGGACGACTGGTCGGATTACCTCTGGTCGTCGGCCGATATGCCCGATATGAAATGATTGTGGGTTTCTTTTTTTTTTTTAAATTGATTGATACGCAATATGTGGCTAGTTGCTAATTCTGTACAGACCTATATATAGCATGATATCCGTATATACGATAGCTAAAGATCCTGTGGCATCCCAAGCGGGACTCCAAAGCCACGCATAAATAAAATCCTACACAATTACCTGATTAATCTACACCTAAAGACCAGATTACTATATATGATGTAGCTGAGATTGCCATGCATGCTATGCCGTGTATCATATATCTAACGGTGACGCAAAAGAGAGAAAAGGAGAAGGGGGGGAGAACGGAAAATGGCACAGCCAGACATCGATAGATACAAGAGTACCTTGGTAAGGCCATGCCTAGGAGGCACGGTAACTAAGAATATAAGAAAGCAAAAAAACTACACCTCCTGGATATAGTTAGCCGGCACGCTTCTGGTGACCCCGCCTTTCTCGACATCCGCCCAGCCATCCCCGCTGTCCGAGTTGACAAGAACAAACCGATCGCCCTCGGCCATGCTCCACTCCATCTCGCTACGCGCCTCATAGTCATACAGGGCCTCGACGTACTGCAGCTTCTTCGCCCCGCGACGGGGCGCCACCGCCGGGCCGACGCGTTTCGCTGCCGCCGCCGCCGCCGCTGCCGCCGTGCTTCCAGCCAGTGAGGCCGAGGAATTCGAGTACGTCGATCCAGGGCGATCGGTGAAGCCGGGACTCGCCGAGGGGACGGGCGAGGGCGTCGGTGGCGGGGCGGCCTCGACGTATGAGGCTGGAACGAGACCTTCGTGTGATCCGGCGCGGACGCGCATCCATCCGGATCCATCTGATTGCTTTAGTTATTGAATTGATAAGAGAAGAAGGGATGGGAGGAAGGTTTACCATCTGGTTCAACGATTGTGATATCGTCTCCCTCCTGCACTGTGACCTCATCCGCACCGGTGGCTTGGTACGCATACATCATCTTCCCCCGCGGTTCGCTGCTGGGTCTGATAGAGGACCCTGGCTCGGTGGCCGGTGGCGGGTTGACATACTGCGAAGGGGGCGGGGCAAGGATCCGGTTGCGCCGCGCGGCAGCGGGGGCGGGCTTTGCTTCGGCGGAAGGAGACTCTGTTGGGCTCGTCGGAGAAGTGGTACTGGGTTTGTTGACTACGTTGGACAGGGATCGGGTCGCGCTCGTCGCGTACCCGGAACTCAGCGAGTTCATGGTGTTTTGCCGGGTGAGGGACGGGCCAGTCGTCGAGCCGTTGGTGGATTCAATGTCTAGATTCGGGGTCGAGTTGGCTTGCTCTTGTCGTTCGGCTTTCAGCTTCTTCTTGTCTTCCTTGGACTGCTCCCCGGGACAATCGGCGGGCACTTTCATCTGGCACTTGCTGTGGCAGGTATATCCGCAGTCTAGGCAGTCGAACCCTTTGGCACTTAGCCCCCAGATCCGGTCGCCGCACAGGTCGCAGTTGGTAGGGATCTTGAAGGTTTGAGATCGGAAGTTGTGGTTCTTTGCCCCGAGCGACAGGTCGCCAACGGCTGTGATGATGGTCGCCGTTTCGACTTCGGCAGTCAGCCGTTTACGGTCGATTTCATGGCATGCATCCTGCAGGAAGAAGATGGCACGGACGACCTCAACCTCGTCACGTTTTTCCTTTCCTTGTCTGACATTCTCTCGTGTTTGCTTGGCCTTTTCCACTTCACGTCTCTTCTTATCCGATTCCACTCTGAGATCTCTCACCTGAGTCTTGCTTTTCATAAGTAGGTTTCGTAAGAACACCTTTGCAGCCTCGTCGGTTACAAGGGATTCATCGTCGTGCCAGACAGGGCTAGGTTCAAATGTCAGACTCGGCGGTTCTTGAGACTGTGTCATGTTGTGACGCAGAAACATGAGCGAGTCAAGCTGTGGATTATTCCGAGGAATTTCGTTTTGTAGAGTTACCATATGTTCCGTGCTCCTGGAAAGGGCGGATTGTTCGAGCTGGGCAGCGAGGAGCCATAGCGAGTTCAGCTTTGCTACTTTGGTTTCATTGATATCTTGTAAACCCTGAAAAGGAGATATGGTTAGTCCAGCTTGAAGGGAGCGAGGAGAAGTGTACCCACATCAAGAACTTCGGGAACGTATTCATGATAGAACCTTTCCCTCAGCTTGTTCGTTACATTGATGCTGATGAGATATGTGTTCTGACCGTAGACGTTAAATTCAACTTCATTGCAACGAAGAAACTAGACCAGTACTTGCCTTGACATTATGCATCTCCAAAATCTGCTGTTGATACGCGCTCTGGGCTTTGGTCTTGCCATGGTCGAACGAAGATTCGATCTTCTTCCGTCGGCTCTCCACTTCCTGGCAAGCCCCGTCATATTTGGCTTTGGATTTCTTGAGGTCACTGTATGACGAGTCCCTCTCCTTCTCCAACTTGCCATGGAAGTCCAAGTGGCACTTCCGGAGTTCCTCGTATCGTGCAGCGACTTGTCTCAAGGGATCTGAAATGTGACTGACCAGGTCGTTGCCGAATCGATCCCGCTCCGCTGCGTGGGACTCGATCGTCGTCAGTTGTGTGGTCCACGTCGTCAACGACGCGCTTTCCAGAGAGCCTGGCGTGAGACTCGGCGTATCTCCCACACTCAAGCTGCTCGTCTTCTTCGCCTTTCGGTCTTGGTATTTCCGGCAGAGAGCCGTCAGCTTGGCGGCGTATTCTTTCTCAATCGCGCTTCGCTCCCGGTAGAATTGCTGCACCTCATCTAACCAGGCTATCCCGTTCGATACCTATTCCCTTTATCAGCTGACTATACTCTCTTTCCTCTCTCTCTTCTTATCGAATAGTGTGGCGGAGGACTGCGGGGAAGGCGGGATCGGAGGCAAGCGGCATACCCAGGCGTTGACCGGTTTAAACGCATCCTATCACAAACAAAGCACAAGATCAGCACTAAGCCTTGCTCCCTCTCTGCGACCTCATTACCTTGAGCTCAGCTCCGAAGTGTGGAGCAACGTCTGCAGCCATGTTTGGGTTTGAGGGGCTTCCTTATCGGGAATCACGGCGCATGAGACCGAGGGGGAAGAAGACAGGGGAGACGCTGGGCACGTAACAGATCCGAGGCACCCGGACACAATGGAAACCTCAAAGGACAGCTGCGGGGGGCAGCGTGTAGACAATCCAGCGGAAATTGACCACCTGTTTCCCACTCGAGGGCGATCCAGTTGCGATCGGACGTTTCAGACCGAGGGAGCCCTCCGGACAGGTTGACCTGACAGGAGGGAAAGCGGGGGAACACCCGTTCCTGCGTGACCGTACGCTTACACCAGCCAGGGCTGCATTTTCGCCCGTCGGGGGCGTTACCCCGGCAGCGCTGTACCGTACGATACGTCCCCGATACCGCATACGAACGGCCACACGCCAAGCGCTCCCAAAAGGGTTAAGCCTGCCAGTCACCTGCTTTGGTGCCTGATTTGTCAGGCCGGCAGGCTCATCAACACCGATACTTTTTGAGCTTCGTCGGTTCCGCCAAAGTCGCCGCTCTCAACTTATCGTCTGCCTGCAAAGGAGCGTTCTGGATCTCTGCCCAGTGTCATCGTGAAGAGGCTCTGTCTTTACTTCTTACAAACCGTCTACTCGCACCATTTTCTACCTGTCCTTCGCTCGCCTAGCACCCGTCTTGTTTTCAGGCTTGCCTGATCTCAACTACCCCGCCGTTGTCATCGCGACCTGTCCAGACTCCGCGCAGTCGACTGCACGCCCTCTAGACCATCGACCGTGTCTTGCACTATTGGATACAATAAGACTGCCATCATGTCGTCAGAACAACCCACTGCCGCTCCTTCTGGGAGTTCTCTCGCCGACCGCATTACGAAGCCTGACGACAGCAAGCCCTCCGGTACGGACCTGACCATCACATCTGACTGCTTCTGTCGGCCTGCGCGTTTCACTTGACGTTATGGAGCACGAGTCATCTTCTTCGACTGTCGGCTAATGAGTGTGATGTTTTTGATTTTTCTTTGTTTACAGAGACAGCGCAGCCGGACTCGAAAAATGAGCAGACTGATACCGACGGCGCACCCGTCACGCTCAACGGCTCTGACCTCCAGGAGCCCGAATATTCGGTTGAAGTGAAGCTCAGTGATCTTCAGGCCGATCCGAATAACCCTCTGTTTTCCATCAAGACTTTTGAGGAGCTTGGACTGTGAGTGATACCTCGGGGGAAAAAAGAAAAAAGAAGAAGAAAAAAAAGAGTGCTCATGCAGATTTTGTGGACGATAGACACGCCGATATTCTGCAAGGTCTCGCCAATATGAACTTCCGTAAACCTTCGAAGATCCAGGAGAGAGCCCTGCCGCTACTGCTAAGCAACCCTCCCAAGAACCTGGTCGGCCAATCCCAGTCCGGAACCGGCAAGACCGCCGCCTTTACCCTCAACGTTCTGAGCCGCCTCGATCTCAGCTCGGAGCAGATGCAGAAGACCCCCCAGGCATTGATTCTGGCCCCGACTCGCGAGCTTGCCAGGCAGATCGTTGGTGTTATCCAGGTGATGGGCCAGTTTCTTAGTGGCCTGATCATCGGCACCGCAGTTCCCGCAGACACCGGCAGTCGCCCTGTGAGAATGGAGTGCTCGGTGGTTGTAGGAACCCCTGGTACCGTCATGGACATGATCAAGAAGCGGGTCATGGTCGCGAATCGCCTCAAGGTGCTTGTCTTGGACGAGGCAGACAACATGCTGGACCAGCAGGGATTGGGCGACCAGTGCATTCGTGTCAAGAGGTGAGTTTTACATATGCATCGAGTATACAGCAAGGCCTGCTCATCACTTTCGTCCCTCTATAGTCTCCTGCCCAAGGACATCCAAGTCGTCCTCTTCTCCGCCACATTCCCGGCCCACGTTCACCGCTACGCGTCCAAGTTTGCACCCAATGCCAACGAGATCACCCTGAAGCATGAGGAGTTGACTGTGGATGGCATCAAGCAGCTGTACCTTGACTGTTCGAACGACGAGGACAAATACAAGACCCTTGTCCAGCTGTACGGTCTCCTCACTGTGGGATCTTCCATCATTTTCGTCAAGGTTTGTCCTGTTCTGATCGATGGCACTCGAGGGTTTATCCTGACGATCTGTAGACCCGTAACTCCGCTTCCGAAATCGAGAAGCGGATGATTGCCGAAGGCCACACGGTCGCCTCCCTGACGGGTGGTATCGAAGGATCCCAACGTGACGAGGTTATCGATCGATTCCGGTCTGGCGAAGCCAAGGTTTTGATCACGACCAACGTGCTTGCCCGTGGTATTGATGTTTCGACCGTGTCTATGGTCATTAACTACGTAAGTTTTACTTTTTTTTCTTATTTTTCAAATACATCAGACCGGAAGAGAAACTAATTTACTAGGATATCCCCGAGATCCACCAGCCCGGCCGCCCACGCCAGGCAGACTTCCAGACTTACCTGCACCGAATCGGACGTACCGGACGATTCGGACGTGTGGGGGTTGCGATTGCGTTTGTGTCGAACCAGGACGAATGGATGATGCTGAACCAGATCCAGCAGTACTTCCAGACGGAGATCCAGCGGGTGGACACCAAGGACTGGGACGAGGTGGAGGACATAATCAAGAAGACGATCAAGAGCCACCGCGGACAGGCCAACTTTGCGCAGCAGCAGTAGGCGCGCGATGGCCGTGAGATCATTGGGGACGCGTTGGAAAAGTCAGAATTACGAAATAGATACCATTACGAATTAATCGTCACATCCGGATGTATATCAGAGTGAGATCGGCGTTACTACTCCGTCCTCCGTAGGATTCACTGATCTGACGCCCGTTCGAAGCGTCTGGTAGACTTGTATTTATATCTTGAACCCCCGTTGACTCTTTGTCCCACGGATATAATCTTAAGTCTGATGGCTTTCTACGGAGTATATAAAGCATAGAGAGGCATGATTGTATTATAGTATAGTCTTCTCCATCTTCTCTCCCAACCGAACATCATGGAATACGCTCAAGACCAGCCAGAAGGCTACGTGAACTACACGAACGACCACACGGGGCTTGTCGTGGCTATCCAGATGGTGAAAGATGAGTATATCAAGAGTTATGCTTAGTTTATTAGTATATTCAGGTGAAGATAGTAAACTATTGAAATATAAGACATAAGATATTAATGAACATCCACTATCTCGGAAGGAATCCGACCCTCGGTTATTCTCATCCATCTTCTAATTCATATCTTTATATAGCACTACCTATATTTCTATATATTTTCTAGCAAGAAAGGAAAAGAAAATGACCTTCGACTCGCTCCCCCTCGATCCCAACGGCCCCCCCGGCAACGCCTGGGGTCGCTTCGGCGAGAACGACCAGCTGGGCACGCTCAACCTGCTCACCCCCGCCGTCATCGTCGAGGCCGCCAAAGAGATCCAGACGGGTGTGAGAATCTCTCTCGACTGGCCGTTGAGCATGCCTTCTGTGCCCAGCTTTGGTCGCGATCCGTTCAAGCACGAGATTGTCGCGCGGCGGCCTCTTTGCATCAACGACGACATCTTGACCTTTAATTCGCAGGGGTCTTCGCAGTGGGACGGATTCAGACATTACGGTAAGAAATAAAACAAAAGAAGAAGAAGAAGAAGAAGAAGGAGAAGAAGACTGCTGACAGCTCATTAGCCCATCAGAACTCGAGACGGTTCTACAACAACACAACACAGGAGGAGATTGAATCCTCCGACGTCCTAGGACTACACAGTAACTCTCTAACCTATACCCATCTCTGATAAATGCTAATGAATAGTCGTCTGCGAGGCAGGAGGCATCACCGGGCGCGGGGTTCTCCTCGACTACGCCCGCTGGGCAGAAGACAAGAAGATCCCGCTCAGCGCGTTGACATCCACCACCATCCCCCTGACACACCTACAGAGCTTGGTGGAAGAATACGGGCTCACCTTTCGACCGGGCGATATCCTGTTCATCCGCAGCGGGTTCACCGCCGCGTACGAGCAGCTGGACGCCACGCAGCGGCGGGACCTGGCGTACCGCCCCTCGCCAGATTTCATCGGCGTGGAGGCCACCGAGGCGATGCTGCGCTGGCTCTGGAGCCATCAGTTCGCAGCGGTGGCGGGCGATGCCCCCAGCTTCGAACGTGCGCCCATCCGTGGCCCGCACGCAGACCCGGCGTTCAATCTGCACGAGTGGGTGCTCGCGGGCTGGGGGTGTCCCATCGGCGAGCTGTTTGATCTCGAGCGTCTGGCGGAGCACTGTCGTCGGGAGAACAGGTATACGTTTTTTCTCTCGAGTATGCCGTTGAAGGTGATTGGGGGAGTGGCGAGTCCGCCGAATGCATTTGCGATTTTCTAAGGAAGTTATTACTGGCAGTTAGCTATATGATATGTCTATTATATACTCCACAGTACTGGAACATAGACTCGTAATATCTATGCAGTATCCTGCAACCAGGGTATAGTTACCATTCGTTTTTTAATATCACTACTCTGTAGTAGGCTAAAGATTAGTGCCATCTAAATTCCCATATATAGTACACATAGAGTAGTAGTAGATGATTAGTAGGCATGAATACCATGTACAAACCGTAAGCCTCAGGCCACAAGTTTACGCCTGAATCATATGGCAGAAATCATATATTGCTACCTCATGACTAAATGTGGGTCAGGCTTTGCAAACCAGCCAATCCCATCGGTTTATTCAACAGCTAAGCTGACTAATAGAATTGGTAATCAAACTACTAACCATGACGTCATCGTACTTTCCTCTGCATGTCGAGCTCCCGCAGGCTGCAGGGTTTGTTTCCTCCGTCTTCACCTTCACTCAACTCAATCCTTGGGCAAGGAAAGTAGACGATTAGCAATCTTACTCATACTCATTCTAATCATGATTATTACTCACAGTATCTTGATGAGTAGACAGAATGCGACGGTGGGGCGATATGGGTCGGTCGGATCGCCACAGCGGCAGTTCTGAGTTTACCCGACGTTTGTTTTTAAGGATGAAGAATGCCTGAGACGGAGTCATGATACCTTGAAAAATTGCTTTTTTGTTTTTTTGTTTTTTTCGCTTTTTTCTCTCTCGCTTTTTGCTCGCTCTTCCCTTTTTCTTTTTTCTCACCATGAGCGAAGCCATCGCTGAGAAGACGTCGCCGTCGCCGTCGTCACCCATGGATCGCCCTCCCACCTCCGCTTCAAACAGGAGCTCCGCCACGAGCAGCGGCAGCAGCAGCTCGCTCGAATTCCACCATGCGCCGTTGCAGGGATTACAATCGCGTACTACACAGCCCGATCTGGACCTCGAGCGTCTACGGACCACCACCTCGCTGGCGCTGAGCCGGCGCGAGACCCAGCGCCTGCAGCATTCCTTGACCGTCGGCCGCAGCATCGCCTCGCGGCGCTCCAAGGGGGAGCTGCCCCCGTTCGGAGGAGGGAAGCCGTATCCTCCCCAGCTACCAGATATCGAGGACTATGTCGTTGATTTCGATGGGCCGGATGATCCATTATATCCTCAGAACTGGCGGCTAGGGACCAAGTACGTTCTTACTTGCATTGCTTACAGTGTGGAGGAAACTGACTGACTTCAAAAGAGTGTATATCAGCGCCATGCTTGCCTTTACCAGTATCTGTTCGACCTTCGATTCTGCCATTTTCAGTGAGGCCACGGAGAGCGTCGCTGCCACGTTCCACGTCGGTCTCGAGGTCTCGATCCTGTCCAGCTCGCTATACATTGCCGGGTACGCGACGGGCCCGTTGCTGTGGGCGCCTCTGTCGGAGCTCAATGGCCGGCGCCTGCCCATCCTCATAGCCATGCTGGGATTTGGCATCTTCAACACGGGCGTTGCGGCCGCAAAGGACCTGCAGACGGTCATGATCTGTCGGTTTTTTTCCGGGATCTTTGGCAGTTCGCCGCTAGCCGTGGTGGCGGCCATCTTCTCCGACATCTACGACAACCGCACGCGCGGCGTTGCCATCGCGCTCTTCTCCAGCACCGTCTTCCTCGGCCCGCTGCTGGCCTCCTTCATCGGCGGGTTCATCGATACCTCCTACCTGGGCTGGCGCTGGACGGCCTATCTCCCCGCCATCATGGGCTACGCCGCTTTCGTGATGAACCTCTTCTTCCTCAAGGAGTCCTACCCGCCTGTCGTCCTCGTCCAGAAGGCCTCCGAGCTACGCCGTCGCACCCGCAACTGGGGCATCCACGCCAAGCAGGAGGAGATCGAGGTCGACCTGCATGACCTGCTGGTCAACAACTTCTCCCGCCCGCTGCGCCTGCTCGTTAGCGAGCCGCTCATCCTTGCCGTCACCATCTACCTCAGCTTCATCTACGGACTACTCTACTGCTTCCTCACCGCCTACACCCTCGTCTTCGAGGGCAAATACGGCATGTCCCCCGGTGTCGCCGGCCTCACTCTTTTCGGCATGGTCGCCGGTCTTTTCATCGCCGCCTCCTTCATGATCTTCTTCCTCAACGGCTCGTACATCCGCAAGCTAGAAGCCAACGGCGGCGTGCCCGTCCCCGAATGGCGTCTCCCGCCCGTCATCCTCGGCGGCGCTCTCTTCGCCGCTGGTCTCTTCTGGTTCGGTTGGACTGGCTACACAGGCACCATCCACTGGATTGTGCCTACTCTTAGTGGCCTGTTTACCGGGTTTGGCCTTTTGATCATCTTCATCCAGCTCTTCAACTATCTGATCGACACCTATCTCATGTTGTAAGTTTTTCTTTTTCTTTTACCCCTCATCTGTCTGTAATGTTACTCTGAGGCTAAATTATTTAGTGCTGCCTCTGCCATTGCAGCCAACACATTCTGCCGCTCAATGGTAGCGGCAAGCTTCCCCCTCTTCTCGCGCCAGATGTTCGACAACATGGGCATCCAGTGGGCGTCCACCCTGCTCGGCTGCGTGGCAGCCGCCCTGGTCCCCATCCCTGTCGCGTTCTACTTTTACGGCAAACGGTTACGCATGAAGAGCAAGTTTGCGCCCTTTACTGAAAAGGTGCAGGAGATGGGCGCAGAGGAGCAGATGGAGGAACGCGGGGAGGGCATCCAGGCTGAAGAAGATGAGGCCAGGTAAACAGTGAACAGTGACAATATCTGGTGATGTGTCTTGCATGGAGTGGAGTTTGTATATAAATATACCCTGCATGGTTTTGTAATATAACTGGCATTATCTTTTTTATGGTTTAAACATAGATATAGAACATACTATATCTTTTTCAGTTTAGAATCTTCTAAAATATTCTTAGCCTCGAGTTATAGGATATGGTATTTCACTATGGAGTTCAGGAGTATGCACTCCATAGCGTGGCGTACTCCATCCTACTCCATCCTGTGGACCTGAAAGTCCCACATCCCGCATTATCTTAAGCCACCCGCCGCCAAGTATATCATACGGAGTATATCTTGTTTACTGTAACTATAAGAATTCAAATGGTTAATTCTTTGAAATGATGGTTTGATTAAGATGGTAAGGGCTAGAAATAGGGTTAGGGTTGATGGAACGGCCTGAACAAGACCTGGTTAACTGGTGGAGGATTCATGTAACTGTTTGTTAACCAGTTGCAACTAGTTGTTAGCTAGTCTATACAGCCATGAGGTTACGCCGGAGCCCCCTCGAGCTTAAAGTAACCCGGCTGCAGGGTCTGAAAGACCTGGTCGGGATCGTAGCGGCGCGAGATCTCCTTGAGACGGGCCTGGTTGGCAGCGCCGTACGAGGGCACGACAGCCTGGTACTGGCTGGCGTAGTTCATGTAGAGAAAATCGTTGTCGAGGCCGCGGGCCTTGGCGGCGCCGAGGGCCTTGTCCGTGATGGTGGCGAGCACGTTCATGACGGCCTCGTCGTCGGCGGCATCGTCCCACATGAAGGCCAGATTAATCAACAGCAAGGGCCCGTCGGACGAGGCGTCGAGCCCCAAGGCGTTGCCGCCATTCTTGGCCATGTGGTCCATCGTGTTGGTGCTGATGACCTGCCAGACCAGCGCGGGGACCAGACCCGTCACGTTGACGATCGGGGCGAGCTCCTGCTTGAACATGTCGGTGATGTTGGTGAGTAGCTCGAGGTCCAGCTGCACGGCGCCTGCCCAGTAGCTCTCGCGCAAACCGTCCGGGTTATCCTCGCGGAGGAGCAGGGTGATGTTGGCCAGGCTGCGGATGGCCATCGTATCTTCCAGCGTCGTGCTCCCGGTCCCGTTGCCGTTGCCGATGTCGTCGGCGAACCCGGCGAAGATGGGCGGATCAGCCACCGGCTCGGCGTACTCGAGGTCGGCCACCAGCAGGAACAGGCCCTCAGTGTAGGCGATGGAGACGATCAGCGCCGCCTTGGGGTCCGAGGGGGACTCCTCACCAAACGTCACCAGCGCCTGCAGAATGTCTGCTTGGTACTCGTCCAGCCAGACGCGCGAGCCCCCCCACATCAGTCCCTGCTTGTGGGTGGTCAGATCAAAGCGTGTCACGATGCCGAAGTTGTTGCCCCCGCCGCGTAGCGCCCAGTACAGGTCCGGATACGAGGCGAGGTTGACATCGACGATGGAACCGTCGGCCAGCACGACCTGGTAGTTTTCCACGTTATCACATGCCCACCCGTATATGCCTGAGAAGAAGGAGATCCCTCCGCCCAGGGTGAGCCCCCCGACGCCAATCGCCGACTCGCGGCCCCCAATCACCGACAGTCCCAGCGGGTCGAGCCACTGGTACACGTCCAGCCAGGTATTGCCCGTCCCGACAGAGGCCACCGACGCGTCCACCGAGAGGGTCCTGTCATTCAGATCGTGCAGATCGATCGTCAGCCCGTCAGCGATGTTGGACGCGCCCGCAAATGCCGCGTGGCCCCCGCTCTTGACGGCAAAGGGGCACGTCGTCAGCTCGGCGAGCAGCAGGGCGACGGCGACCTCAACCGCATCGCTCGGCAGGAAGACGCACGCCGGATCAACCTCTTCCTGCTGCTGCGACCAGAACAGCGCGTCCCACGCGGTATAGGCCGAGGTCTCGCGGCGTAGCGTCTGGTTGGGGTAGAAGAGGGGGAGGAGTGTGCACTAGACGAGGGTTTGCATTAGCGAAACACCGGTTTTTTTTAGATTATATTAAAAATGAACAGTGAAGGAAAATAACAATAAGAAAGAAAGGAAAATACCAACTCCGAGCAGCTGGAGCTGCTCAGCTCGCTGTTGAAGTCTGCAGAGACGTTGACGCCGTAAGACGCGAGTGAGGACAAAACGGTGGTCTTGTCGAGGGCAGCTGCTGGGACTGCCGCCAGGACAGACACAACGATAGCAACAACCGCCGCCGCCCGACGCATGGTGAGGAAGTGGGAAGAAGGAAAAGGAGATGCTAATGCAGAATCGCTAGGTAGGACCTGGCAACCCTGTCGAGGACCTGCAGGCGCCTTTTATACCGCCCCTGAAGCAATAAGACCGTTAATCTCAGTCTCACTCGGAGTCCGACAGCACACCCTGGTCTAGCTCGAAGGATGGAAACAGACATTCTCATAATTACGAAGGAGTCTGCAGGAGTAGTCTGGGAAGAGAAGAAGAAAAACTCGATGATTATGGATTCCTGCTGAGATGGATTGATGCTGATGGAGAAAAACTACGTGTCGGCCGGCCAGCTGAGAGCAACGGGCTACAGCATGATCGCCCTGGCGTCGATTGTCGTCCTGGCCCGGCTCGCGCTCGTCCTATGGAAGTCTCGCAGGCTGCAGGTGGCGGACGGGTGGCTGTTGCTCGCTTGGATGTGCTTTTTGGCCATGACCGTCGGCTATCTCGTCGTGACGCCCGTGGTGTATCGAGTCGACGCCTACGAGCAAGGGGAGATCGGTGCGTGGCCGGACATGCTGGACGACGCCCTGTTCATGATCCAGATCTTCTTTGCCAACACGATGCTGCTCTGGGCCTCGCTGTGGTCCGTCAAGCTGTCGCTTCTCTTTCTCTACCGCACTCTGCTGCAAGCGCTCCCGGACCAGATGAAGTGGTGGTGGATGGCTCTGGGGTTTATCATTATTGTAAGTCTTCTAGGTGATCATCATAACTTGAGAAAGTCTTTCCTAATAATCTAGACCTTCATCGGTGCCATCGTGTCCAACTTCACTTCCTGCCAGAGCATGCACGCCTGGTTTACTGTGGGTGAGCAATTACTACCCTGTCTATGTAGTAATAGCTGCTAAACTTACTTACAGGAGAATGTGATACTCATCGAGATGCCGTGGCTGAGATCGCCAGTCTATACTACAGCTTCGCCGTCGACGTCCTCAGTGATATCATGAGTACGTTCGAGAGCATCTACTACACTACTACAGGTCTGCAACTAAGTAACAGTCATGGTGCTTCCCCTCCGTCTTGTCCTATCGCTCCGTCTCCCGCCGGCGCAGAAACTGGGTGTGGTTACCCTCTTCACGCTGGGCATCATCTGCGTCATCACGGCCATTGTACGGGTTGTCCAGATCGGCTCGCGGGCGGACAACGACAGTACCCCGAGCAGCTCCTGGCTAGCTTTCTGGGGGATTCTAGAATCAGGGATTGGTGATCATCCTCTTTCACTCGAGGTTTTCTTTGGCTGATTTGGCTAGCTGTTATGGTCGGCAGTCTCCCTGCGTTCGCTATTGTCTACCGTCAGACGAAAAGCTTCAAACGGTATCCCAGCTCGTATCCTGCACCACGATACTTCAGACAAGAAGACGTGGTTCTGGAGGAGATATCTACTGGAAACCGCACCATGCTTGTGGAGGGAGAGTGGTGATGGTAAATATACATCTAATGAACTATGATTATACAATAATTAGTGACTAGGCATGTATAAGTATAGTGAATGATCTTTGTCAATATGATCCCTCAGCTGCTGGCCAGCCATATGACAGGTATAAAAGGATCCTGCTTCTCCCTTCTTCGCCCTTAACACTTACTCTATTGAGATACTATGGGATGAAAAAATACTGCCTATATTATTTACTTTTTTTTTGCTGTTTGCAGGAGACAAAAGAGCAGATTCCTTGCAGAGCTTCTTATATTACTGCACCTTCACAGCTAAAAAAAGAGAGTCTGTCATGTTCCATTCCTCATCAAGTCACCAATCTCTATCTAGATAGAGCCACACGAGTCGCAGTAAAGAGGCCAGCTCACGAAGCGTGTCTAAGAGGACAATCAATTTTGTGTGGTCACAGGTTACATGGACAACCTACTCCACTGTCTACCTAGACTCCGTCGAACAACCAAGCAGAGAAGCTTCGAGGAGATGTTAGGGCGTGGTGGAAATAACCGTCTCTATTCTATATACATACCGACAATCAGCGCATCTTTGAAAAGTCCTTCAGCACTGCTTTCCAAACCAGACGCATAATCGTCTATATACCATTTTATCTGAAGAGAGACGACTCCAGCAATCTGACGCTTATTCACCACGACGTTACCGACCTTGAAGACCATATGAGTACCCTACATACTCGCGATGTCGCCAGGTATAGAAGGAGAGGGTTCTGGAATAGTAATGCGTCAATGGAAAGGCAAAAGAGCCTGGTTTAGGGTTAGGGTTAGGGTTTCAGAGTGCAGCTGTCGAGCTGGGCGCAATAAGATTGTTAATTCAGACAATCGGCCTATGAAATTTTCTGCTTCTACCTGGATAGAGAGGTGTTGTATTAGTTGCTAGTACTTCTTGCTTATAACCGCAGGGTTGTATGTAACAATACGGAGTAGGTATACTTCCCTTTAAGCTTAATTAGTCCTATAATATGTTATCTACTCTGTAATAAACAAGGCTTTTAGCAGCCAGCCATGAAGTTCTCATCTAGTTCCTTCAATCTCTTTTTTATATTATACTTGTTGTAATATAGTATAATATATAATTTGGCGACCATGTCAAGCATATACACGCCTAGTAGATGAACTCCATATTGCAAGCTGCATAAACCCTAACCCTAACCCTAAAATATGAAATCTGCTCACCAGTGATCATAAGCCTATAATTGATAGACGTGTTAGTTGATTGGCTTCATCCTTGTCTATAGGCTTGAAGAGTATAAATCATAGAATATTCCGATTCATCCTTACTTTACTAGATGTTTATCAGGTTGCATACACTTTCTTATACACATAACCCAAACAGGCATAGATACCTAATCTACTGCCTGAGGCATACAAGAGATAAAAGGATCCACAAGAGCAGCTACTATTGGCCAGCTCCTGTAGATCAGCTGATAAGGCCGTACTCCGTAGATAAGCGTCATGCGGGGTGGCACTGGGCAGCAACACAGCTCGTTCTCTCTCTCTCTCTCTCTTTCTTCTCTTCTTTCTCTTCTCTTCCTTTTTTTTTCTTATCCTCCAACTATCACTCTGCTATCACTCCGAATCTCTATCTTTATTTCTACTATATCATCAACATGGGAGACGTGGTCCCCGAGACTGAGGCTCCAGCCGATGCACCCACTCCGCGGTATAGCACGCATATCGTCGTATGCTATCATCATTATCCAACAGGAATCTAAATCTGAATGATTCGATAGTAGATCTGCTAATACCCTGTCTCTAGTTAACGACATATCCCGGTCAGAGTGGGATCGACCCCGTTCCTCTGAACTGGGGAGCGGCAGACGCCCAGAGCCGCGGCCCTGTGCTGGTGTCACGCAGCGGCCCGTTGCTGAAACGCCGCAACGCGTTGGGCGCCCACGGCGGCAGCTACAGCATCTACAACGCGCTGGCGATTGCAGCGGGGGATCTGGCGGCTGATTTCCGGCCCGACCTGCGGAACAGCGAACCCACGTTCCGGTTCCCCTGGCAGCCGGCGTGGGCGGACGCGCACCGGATCGTGTCGATGGATCCGTACGGACACGACGTGGTGGAGCAGTTCCGCGCCGAGCTGGCGGCCGGGTGGGACATCCGGCCGACGATGGCGGTGACGCGGGCGAACATGAAGCTGGCGGAGATTGGCGAGGCGGTGCGCGCGGGGCAGCTCGAGGTAGACGGGTCGATTGTGGTGGACGCGGCGGGCGAGGTGCGCGTCACGAAAGTCGCCGTCGAGCCCGTGTGGTATCTTCCCGGGGTGGCGGAGCGGTTTGGGTGCGATGAGGGCACGCTGCGGCGTGCTCTCTTCGAACACACAGGCGGCAGTTACCCCGAGCTCATTACGCGGCCGGACCTGAAGGTGTTTCTGCCCCCTATTGGCGGGCTGACGGTGTACATCTTTGGCCCGCCGGAACGGGTGTCGGACGAGAAGGTGAAGCTGGCGCTGCGCATCCACGACGAGTGCAACGGCAGCGACGTGTTCCAGTCGGACATCTGCACGTGCCGGCCGTACCTGGCGTTTGGGATCCGCGAGGCGATCCGCGAGGCCCAAGCAGGCGGCAGCGGCGTGGTGATTTATTTCCGCAAGGAGGGGCGCGCCCTGGGCGAGGTCGTCAAGTACCTGGTGTACAACGCTCGCAAGCGCGGCGGCGACACGGCCGACAAGTACTTTACTCGCACGGAGAACATTGCCGGGGTGCGCGACATGCGCTTCCAGGCGCTGATGCCCGATATCCTGCACTGGCTGGGGATCAAGAAGATCGACCGCATGCTCTCCATGTCGAACATGAAGTACGACGCCATCGTGCAGTCGGGGATCCGCATCCTCGAGCGCGTGCCCATCCCCGACGAGATGATCCCCAGCGACTCGCGTGTCGAGATCGACGCAAAGATCAACGCCGGCTACTTCACCACGGGCAAGCAGTATTCCATGGACGAGCTGGCGCAGGTCAAGGGGCGCGGATGGGAGAAGTGGGAGGACGTCACTGTAAGTTCTTCCTTTCCCCGTGGAATTCCCACTAACAGCAGCATAGCATTGATTAGATATTAATAATATTTCTTGATTGCTCATACAATCCGTAGAATACTCTCTTATCGTACTGTATTCGGTGTCGGTCCGACGAGCCGATTCGGCTTCTGTATCCGTACCCCTCACTATTTATTCTTCTATCCTCGATCTATTTTCTCGGTCAAGTTCCTCTATCTATTCTGTCTCTATTCTCTCTATTCTCTCTACTCTCTGTTATATCGAAATCAATTCCATTCTATCTACGATGACTGCTCCTCCCCCCGGCGTGTGGGCGCCCGCCGTGACGTTCTTCAACGCCGACGACAGCATCGACTTCGCCGCCCAGAAACAATACTTCCACTACCTGTCAACGACCGGCTTAGCAGGGCTAGTCATCCTGGGCACCAACAGCGAGGCCTTCCTGATGACGCGCGAAGAACGCGCCCAGCTGATCGCCGCCGCACGCGAAGCCGTCGGCCCAACGTTCCCCCTCATGGCGGGCGTGGGCGCGCACTCGACGAAACAAGTGCTGGAGCTGGCGGCCGATGCGGCGGCCGCGGGGGCAAACTACCTGCTTGTTCTCCCGCCGGCGTATTTCGGCAAGGCGACCAGCATGGCGGTGGTGAAGCGGTTCTTTGCCGACGTGGCGGCCAAGGCGACCCTGCCGGTTGTGATCTATAACTTTCCCGGAGTGTGCAACGGGGTGGACATTGATTCCGAGACCATGACGGAGATTGTACGGCAGTCTGCCGCTGCGTCGGAAGACAAGAAATCGAACGTGGTGGGCGTGAAGTTGACGTGTGCGTCTGTGGGCAAAATCACCCGGCTGGCAGCGACGTTCCCCCGCGACGAGTTCGCCGTGTTTGGCGGGCAGTCGGACTTTCTGGTCGCAGGCCTGTCGGTCGGGAGTGCAGGGTGTATTGCTGCGTTTGCGAACGTGTTCCCCAAGACGCTGGCCAAGATATACGCCCTCTACACGGCGGGCAAGGTCGACGAGGCCCTCCGCCTGCAGCAGACGGCGGCGCTGGCCGAGTCGCCGTGTAAGAGTGGCATCGCAGCGACCAAGTTCGCCGTCGCGGTTCACTCGGCGGTCGCGGCGGGGGTGCCTGAGACTGAGGCTCAGCAGAAGCTGCTCCCCCGTACGCCGTATGAGGGCGTTGGGGAGGCGACCAAGAAGACGGTCAGGGAGGTGATGGCGGCGTTGGCGGAGATTGAGTCAACTGTTTAGAACATTCTCACCGGTAGAATTATCAGTCTTCCTGTTCTCTGTACTCTGCTCTCTGTACAACATTGTGTAACAGTAATTATGACCTGTTTACTGAATTATTGTCAATAATAGATTGATAGATTCTGTCCAAGGTAAACTCCATCAGCACTTGCAGTACACAGTACTCTGTACAGCATATTTACACTATATCATTAATTAACTATTAATTAACACTTGCCTATTAATTAATACTTGCACTAATTAAATATTTACTACTCTGTACCTAATAATTTCTTATCATTTTGTAGTATAATTCCCATGGCGATCTCCGACGGGCTTCCATGATAAGCCCACCACAGCTTCACTTTTCCTCCTCTCGTCGTTGAGCTTTTGCCTTCCCCGCCCACGACTGCGACCCGCATCCTTCATCAATCACCATGCGATCATCAGATCTGGCTCTGCGCCTCTTCGGTCTTGCGCCGGACCAGCGTCTGCGCTGCGTCTGCCCCTGCCTTGCTGCAAGGTCAGGTACGGAGACAGTGCAGCTAATCGACTAGCTCTGCTACCTCCGAGGCAGTGAGGAGCTACAAAGAACGGTATGTCCCCTCCCCTCATTCTCCAGTTCGTTCCTGTTGCTCTCCTCCGTTTGCTTCCTCGATCAGCTCATGTATTCTCTTCTAGCTCTCGGCCTCGCCGTCACGGCCCAGGCAGCCCTGGCCCCGAAACCAGTTCCTCCCCCTTACGCCAGAGCGTCGGCGTCGGAATTGTCTGGCAACACGACCTTCGAGCAGCTGCTCGACCATAACGATCCGAGTCTGGGCACGTTTTCCCAGCGATACTGGTGGAACGCGGAGTTCTGGGGGGGAGAGGGGTATCCAGTAAGCCGTATACTCCACTGCACGTATCAGATATACTTGTTATCCCTTGCTAACTGTCAGGTTGTGCTGTTTACGCCCGGCGAAATCAGTGCAAGCGGGTACGAAGGATACCTCACCAACGAGACCATCACGGGTCTGTTTGCCCAGGAGATCAATGGCGCCGTCATCCTTATTGAGCGTGAGTGGACAGTCCACTGCTTACACTTGACTTGGACTAAAAAAAAAAAAAAAAAAAATAGATCGCTACTGGGGCGATTCTTCTCCGTACACCGTCCTCACGGCCGAGACTTTGCAGTACCTCACCTTGGAACAGGCTGTGGCGGATCTGACCTACTTTGCTAAGAATGTCGACCTGCCTTTTGATACCAACAGCAGCAGCAATGCGCAGAATGCAGTATGTTACTCCCTAGGTAGCCTCGTGGAAGATCCTTGCTCCATATTAACCCTCCCAGCCCTGGGTGCTGAGTGGCGGATCGTACAGCGGTGCCCTCTCCGCCTGGACAGAGAGTACCTCCCCCGGAACCTTTTGGGCATATCATGCGTCCAGTGCGCCTGTGGAAGCCGTCTACAACTACTGGCAGTATTTCGTCCCCATTCAGGAGGGGATGGCAAAGAACTGCAGCACCGACGTGGGCAAGGTGGTCGAATATCTCGATCAGGTCTATAAAGACGGCGACGTTGCTCGCCAGCAGGAACTCAAGGAGATGTTCGGCCTAGGGGAGCTGGAGCATTACGACGATTTCGTCAGGTATCTCTCTTTCTCCCCCTCTCTCTCTCTTCACATACTAATCTAGAAGTGCCCTGGAGAACGGCCCGTGGCTGTGGCAGGATAATGCCTTCTACACCGGCTACTCTGATTTCTTCATCTTCTGTGACTACGTCGAGAATGCCGAAAACGGCGGCACCAACCCTGGCCCGGCCGGTGTTGGTCTGGAGAAGGCGTTGGCCGGATACGCCAAGTGGTTCAAGACCGAGCTTCTCCCAGGATGTAAATCCTCCCTCGAGCGAAGAGACCTGCAGAAAGACTTCTTATTGACTTGTCTAGATTGCGCTTCCTACGGCTACTGGTCCGACGAGTACAGCATCGAGTGCTTCGACACGTACAACGCCACGAACCCGATGTACTCCGACCTCTCCGTTTCCAACGAATTCGACCGGCAGTGGGACTGGTTCTGTTGCAACCAGCCTCTGTTCTACTGGCAGGAGTAAGCCTTACACTAGTATCTATTCAGGTGATTTTTCTTTTTTACTGATCTGATAGTGGCGCCCCCGAGGACCGTCCGACGATCGTCTCCCGCCTGGCAGACGCCGCCTACTGGCAGCGGCAGTGCGCTCTCTTCTTCCCTGAAACCAACGGCTACACGTTTGGCAGCGGGGATGGCAAGACTGCCGCCGAAGTCAACGCCTGGACTAAAGGGTGGGATAATACCGAGTCCACCCGTTTGATCTGGACCAATGGGTGTGTTCCTCCTCTCTCTCTCTTTCTCTCTCTCTCTCTCTCTCTCTCTCTCTTGTGTTTCTCTCTTTCTAATCCATTAGTCAATATGATCCCTGGCGCGAGAGTGGCACTTCATCTGGTTTCCGCCCCGGAGGACCTCTGCAAAGCACCGCGAAGGAACCGTTGCAGGTCATCCCTGGGGGGTTCCATTGCTCGGATCTGATCCTGGACAACGCGTGGGTGAACGAGGGGGTGGCCAAGGTGGTGCAGAATGAGGTGAACCAGATTGTCGAGTGGGTGGAGGAGTATTATCGTTGAAAGGGTTGTATATAGGAGTATCTAATCTAATCAGTTCGTTACCTGGTATAATCTCCTATCAAGGATTGTCTCATCTCTTGAAGATGAAGCGGTGAGGGAATCGTAGGAAGATAGTTCCTTGACCCTGGTTGTTTACTCGGTAGATATCAGACGGTATTCACATATGCTTCTGGGGTAGTAACAGCGGTGAAAATCATGTCGTATACTAGCAATAGAGCATCTTAGTAAAAGTAAGCCATTAATACGTCGAACAAAGCATTCTACAGACTATTCATCAGTTTTCTAACTACCTAATATAGGTAACTAGGTAACTATGTACATAGGAGGGAACGGTATATCAAATACCAATATTACCAATATTACCAATATTACCAGTTCAAAAGAAAAAAAAAGCCCGTCCGATACCGTAAAATGTCCCTATCGGAATCTTCGCCTCCCGCGATCATACGACAAGGCAAAGACTTTCTTTCTGACAGAACAGAATCGCCCGTCCACGCAGCGACTGGGCAGTGCTGGATTGCTCCACGATGAATGGTGCCTTGTGCTTAGGGTATATTCAACATTAATTGCACCCTGGCGCTATCGCCTCGGCGAGAATAGCCGATAGAATCGTCCAGGTCGAGGTAGATCCCAACAATTCCAAGGAACACCCAGAGAGACGGCAGACAGCAGACAGGCCGCTCTGTGAGTCGAGCGTTCACTATTTACACTCTTCACGCCCTGATGGACAAGATCTATTCATCTGCTTATTATTTCTCTGGCGTTTCTGATTACTGGCTAATTTTATCGTCCGACTAGTCAACTAGTTTACTGTTTCGCTCCACCGCGTCGTCTCCGACTCAGTCCTCAGGCAACCAGCTAGAACTCCTCGATTCGCCTCATCCTCCTCCATCTTGACGATCCTCTCTTTCATCGACATTGCACACCTTCTCTCTCTCCCTCCCTCTCTCTCTTTGACTACGGTCAAGGAATGAGCCGCCATGCCCTTCCCAACGGCCTCGGATGAAGTCACCACCCAGGACTGGACACAGTGGATGCGCTGGGACGATCCCAAGGACCCCTCCGACCTTTCTCCTTCGGCCTTTGACTTCTCCTCGCTTGCCTCTCCCAACACCTCTGCCACCTCGATCGAGCCTCAGAACCTGGGCGGCCTGTCTGCCGCCGACTTCTCCCCCGTGAGCAATTATTCCGCCAGGCCGTTCTCCTTCCGCGCGGCACCGAGCCTCGAGACCGTCGGCTCGACATCCCCAGGAGCTCGTTGGTCGATCGCCGCCGCCTCCTCGACCTCCTCGATTCGCAAACGAAAGACCAACAGCGACGACGATGACCTTGCCTCCACCGTGGCCCAGCCGGGCGGCCTCGACCTAACCCCCGCCGCCAAGGGCCCCTCCAAGAAACGTGCCCACAACGTGATTGAGAAACGCTACCGGGCCAACCTGAACGAGAAGATTGCTGAGCTGCGTGATAGCGTCCCCAGCCTGCGCGCCTCCGCCCGTCAGATCAACGGCAGCGGGCCCGACGACGAGGACACCGCAGAGGGCGTCCCCGCCGCCAGCAAGTTGAACAAGGCCTCCATCCTCGCAAAGGCCACCGAGTACATCCGCCATCTGGAGATCCGCAACAAGCGCCTCGAGGAGGAGAACACCGCCCTCAAGATCCGCCTGCGCCAGCTCGACAAGGCTGCCGACCAGTCGGTCACCTCCGCCGCCTCCGTCTCCTCCCCGAGCAACTGCACCGTCTCCACCGAGTCGGGAGCCAGCTCCTCCCCCAGCGTCTTTTCCAACATTGAGGATCCCCCAAGTGACGGCTCTCCCTCGCATCACAACCATCATCACCATCACCACAACAATCAACAGCAGCAGCATCATCATCAACAACAACAACAACAACAACAAAATCTTCAGAATCACCCCCCGGAGGGTCTGATCAAAGTACCCGATGCCTTTCGTCAGCTACGAGCAGCTGCCAAACAAGGGCCCTACTCAGAATCCTACATCCAGTATGAAAACCCCAACAACAACAGCAGCAGCAGCAGCAGTAGTAGTGGCGGCACTGGACGCCGTAGCGGTGCCCGCCTCCCTAACAAGTACATGCTCGGCGCCCTGGCTGGCCTCATGGTCGTCGAGGGCTTATCCTCGAGGGACGACGAGTCCGAATCTACGGCCAAGGGCTTGCTGGCAATGCCCCTGAACCTCATCTTCCCGCGGCAAGGACTCAACATCGGTGAGATGCCCTCCCTTGAGTCCCTACACGCCCTGCTCCGCTACTATTGGAGTTCCTGGCAGGCCCGGGCCATTTCGCATGTCCTCCTCTTCGCCGCCCTCGTCGTTGGTCTGGCCTTTATCGTCTTCGTCTACCTATTCAACGCGGCGCCCCGTCGCTCTAGCGGTGATTATGTCAAGGCGGCCGTCGTTGGTAGCGGTACTGGTGGTGCCTCCTCATCATCGTCGTCGTCACCATTGACTCCCGGGAACTACCGGCGACAGGCCTGGTTGACCAGCATCCAGCAGGTGGGCGTGCCACGGCACCGCTTCTTCCGCGAATGGTACGTCGTCACCTCGCGCTGTGCCGATTACATCCTGCGCTGCCTGCTGGGCTGGAAGCTCTACTCGTACCTGACGGGGATCACCGCCGACGATGAGCGCGGCCGCGTCAAGACCTGGGACATCGCCATCGACGCCCAGCTGGCCGGCGGCGACCCGGAGATCAGCAAGAGTCGCCTGGTGCTGACCATCTTCGCCGCGGGTACCCTGCCGCGCAGCCCCATGCGCATGATGCTCAAGGCCCTCCACTGCCGCATTCTGCTGTGGCGTGTCGGCAACCCGGGCGCCTGGACCTTCGCCTGCTCCAACGACGTCGCCCGCGCCCTCGCCCGCTACCAGTGGGACCTGGCCCGCCGCATGAACCGCTCGCTGCCGCAGGGCCACCCGGAGGCCCTGCCGCCTCACCTCGCCGCCTTGCTCGAGATCGACTCGGACGAGGTCATGATCGACGCCATTGTCCAGCGCGCCGCCAACCTCACCTGGAACCACCCCACCCAAGAGGGCACCGACGACGACGAGGTCTTTCTCGACGTCGTCGAGGAGGACCCCGCCATCCAGTCCTCGCTCGACGCCCTGGCCGCCTGGTGGTCGAGCCATCTGCTGCAGCGCGCCATCCTGCGCTACTTCGAGGCTAGCTCGCGCGACCCAGACTCCCGCCGCAGCCGCGTCCTGTTCAAGGCCAAGATTGCCCTCGCCCTTGCCATCGCGCCCCCGACCTCCGCCGCCTACACGCGCGCTCTCGTCATGAAAGCCGTCATCTTCGAACACGACCGCGTACAGAATATCGGCGCCGTCCTGGCCGCTCTCCCCAGCGATAAACCGAAATCATCATCATCGCCTTCTTCTTCTTCTTCTTCTAAGAAAGATAAAGATCAACCTCAATCCATCTCCAACTTCCTAGACTCCTCCCTCCCCGTTTCCGTCCGCGATGAGATCTCCCTCGCGGTACGCTGCGCCATGATCGCCGCCGTCTTCACCGCACGCGCCACGGGCGACGACACCTCGCTACCCGCCTCCTTCACCGTGCAGCGCGCAACGGCCTGGTTCAACCAGCTGCCCCTCGACCCCGTCGAGCTCACCCTGCTCGGCTTCGCAGCGGTCTATCACCTGCTGCACGTCCTCGCTGCCGATACAGACTATCTCTCCTCCTCGGACTCGTCGGTACCTTCAACCCCGTCTTCGGAAGATGGTTCGACGGCGTCATCTGCAGATGATGAAGCAGAAGAAGATAACAACAAGGGGCAGCAACCTGTGCGTGGTATTCGTGGGAACCATAAAAATCATCGCCACCTGACGATCGCCCCTGGCTCCCTACCACATCTCGGCCGCGTCACCTCGGAGCTCATCTACTGGGCTCGCCATGCGTACAACCCGGCCTTCTACGGGTTCACCTCCAACCTGGCGGACGTGGTGGAGCAGGAGTGCACGTCCATCTGTGACAGTCTGGGCGTGGATGTTGCCGATTACGCGGCCGTACAGGAGGAACGCATGAAATCGAAGCGGCGGCGAGACCGCAAACGAAGCATAGTTCACAGCAGTAGTAGGAAACCCGGGCCTCTTCCTTCTCCTAATGCTGCTGTCGCCGTTACTGCCGCTACCGCTGTTGCTTCTCCCAAGCACAGCAAGAAAACTGCCCGTCGGCAGAGCTCTGGCAGCAACGACACGGGGTATGGCAGCCTCAGTGTGGAGGAAGATAAAAGCTAACCCTGTCTCTCAATTGTTGTACTAGATGTTGATTTATTTTTTCCCCATTTCCTTTCTCTCTCTCTCTCAGTGTATGGAGTCGGGCGCATTGATTCTCTTCTCCCTTTTTCCCCGGTTCAAATGGAAAAAAAAAGATCTTATAGAAGCTGGTGTGCTTCTTGGGTGTTTTTTTCAAACCCGTGTCCTTTTTTTGGCGTTCTACTGAGAAATCAAATAATCCACTTCTGCTGGTATCATGACTTTTCACTTTTATCACTTCATCCCATCTTTTGACGTCATGCACTTGGATTCCACACTCGTGCAGCTAACCATCTAGATCACTGTTCGGTGTTCACTGTGTTATCTACGGAGTACCCAGGCATTCGAATAAGATATAGTTATGCCGAACTTTATCTGCTTTCGACGGACTGCAACCCTCACGTTCCACCCGCGGTTCTTTTGGTCGTTCGCGGCGATGACTGGCAAGCCCCTTGCGTGGGTGGCCGGGTCAGGGCCCAGCCTGCTCAGGGCGAACTCTACGATGACCTGCTATCTATCCAGTTGCCAGTTGCTACTAGATGATCAATCGTCGTTGACATTTGAATAGTCTTGTGAGAATGTGAGGCTTACATCGACAGACAGCAGTGCCTACAATGTCCTACAATGCTTGGTGGCCTGAAGGTAGTTGGATCTGTATTCAACCATTCCATTGTTCAGATCCGTTTTCGGACAATGTTTCATCGCGCAGCCCAGACCGACAAGCCCGACAACAGTCGCATCTCCGATCTCCAATTCTCTGCAAATCCCGCTCTCTCGGCAGCGAAGAGAGACTTTCTTACCTGCTGAAACTGGTACTCGCAGCCCCCAATCCCAATTCCGTGGATTTCCGCGTGCACATTCCAGCGGCCTTTCTCCCCCCCTGGAGAAGATGAAACCCCCACATTTTTGCTGACATGATGAGGATGAACCTTTTCATCTCGCGAGTGACTGTTCTCTACAGACACAAGCTGCCTAGAGATACCGAGCCCGTGCTTCCGCAGCTGTCAGGTCGGATACGCGTGGCCATGGCTGTTCTCGATGACGGCATTCATGAAAGCGACAGTGTCCCCCCCCCCCCTCCCTCTCGCGAGTCAAGCGAAAGCTTGTCTTGTCGGGATTTGTGATATATACAGCAGGCGTCGCTTGTCGTTCTGGGCTTGTTATGACCCTTTGAGTCGCTGGTTCTGACTGCGGTTGCCTGCTACCTGCTCTATCACATTCCCATTACATTTTGGTCCTTTGTTTTATTTTTTTTACTTTTTTTTCTGTTTTTCAATTCGCTCGCCATGGGAGTGCAAATAGCAGGCTCGGACAGGATGCAGCCGGACCTTTCAACTCCACTGCTGGTCATGGGTATGCTCCTGCTGGTGATGTTTGGCTGCCGGGCAGCGACGTGGATGTGGCAGCGGCGCCGGCTGAGGGAGATCCTGAGCAAGAACCCAGGCCCGCGACACCAGGGGCGATTCGCAGAGTCGAGCAGGGCGGCGTGCGCGCTCAAACGGCATGTCCGCTACGCGCCGCTGTTCGCGCACCGGCACAGCCGCGAGCTGCGTCTGCTGGCCGGACGGCTGCATATGGGCACCGTCCCGCTGCGGCTCGAGGCGGCCCTGCTGGTGGGCTACATGGTGCTCAACGTGGTCTTCATCCTCAGCCTGGTCGACTGGTGGCAGACCTTTCCGGAAAAGATGTACCAGCTTAAATACGCAGCGGGCCACCTCGCCGTCATGAATCTGCCTGCCCTCGTCCTCACCGCTGGCCGGAATAACCCGCTCATCCCGCTGCTGGGGCTCTCCTTTGACACCTTCAACCTCGTCCATCGCTGGCTGGGGCGGCTTGTTGGCGTCGAGGCTGTTGTTCACATGGCCTGTGTCCTGAGCAGCATGGTCTACCGGAGTGGGTTCCCCTCATAGCATAACTATATACCCTATCATACCACTGCTTATTGTTAATCATTGCAGCGGGCTGGGAGGCAACGGCACAGAGCTTTCAAAAATCATTCTACTTCTGTGGACTCACAGTAAGTTCTTGCACTCGTTCGTCGATGTCAAATGAGACGTGACTAAATCTCAAGGCCCTCATCGGCTTTGTGGTCATCTTCGTGCAGGCCCTGTCGCCCATCCGACACGCCTTTTATGAGTTCTTCTTGCATTTCCATATCGCCCTCGCCATCATGGCCTTTGCCGGGCTGTGGTATCATCTCCAAGGGCTAACCCAGCAGCGGGTTTTAATGGCTGCTTTGATTCTGTGGGGATTAGACGTTTGTCCCCTCCCCCCATCTCTTTTATTTATATCCGTAATGCTCATGTATGAAGAGAATCGGTCGTTTTGTCCTGCTGGCCTGGCGCAACTGCGGCAAACGGCGCACAACCGCCCGCCTCGAGTTCCTGCCCGGCTCCGTCGTGCGCGTCGACGTGGTCATGGCCCGCCCCTGGTCTGTCCGTGCAGGGCAGTACGCCTATCTGTACGTCCCCTCGCTGGGCCTGTGGACGTCGCATCCGTTCAGCGTGGCGTGGAGCGGCCGCGAGCGCTCCGCCGGGTCGGAGAAGCGCTCCTCCAACGACTCCTTCAATGCCCTGCTCGGCGGCAAGGAGCAGACTACCGTCTCCTTTCTCGTGAAAAAGCGTGGCGGCTTCACCAGGAGACTCCTCGAGAAAGTTGAGAGGTCCGTCGACTGTCGTCTTGATGTCGCTGCTCTCGCCGAAGGGCCGTTTGGTAAACCCTCTTTTCCTTCTCCTCTTTTCCTTCTCCCCCTATTGACTTGAATTTTAAATCTATAGGCGGCATTCATTCCCTCGTCTCCTACGGCACCGTCGTCCTTGTCGCCGGCGGCATCGGTATCACCCATCCCATGTCCTACCTACACCAGCTCATGCAGGGCTTCGCAACCACCACAGCAACCCGCCGCGTGAACCTGGTCTGGGTTGTACGGGAGATTGGTAACTTTTTTTTCTTTCCATTCAAATTTATCTGTAATACTAATGGTAGACCACCTTTCCTGGATTCAACCATGGATGACTTCCCTGTTCGCGCATCCCTCCCTCACAAACACCAACCACGCAAACCACTATTTCCAGTTTCCCTGTCTCTCGCTCCGAGTGGACGTCTACGTGACGTGTCCCTCGTGGGCGGTGGATGGGGATTATTCCTTCGCAACAACGCCCGGCGAAATCCCCTGGACGCACGCCGCGCCGCCTGCTGTGCCCGTGCGGATCACCAATGGCAAACCGGCTGTATCAGAGATCGTGGCCGCCGAGAGCGCCGCGCAGGTCGGCGCGATGGCCGTGAGTGTCTGCGGGCCTGGGGGGTTGGGAGATGATGTCCGCCGGGCTGTGAGGGATGTCCAACAGGGGAAGACGGTGGATCTGTATGAAGAGTCGTTTTCGTGGTAGTCAATAGGTGTATACCTTGGTCTAGAGAGATCAGAGTTGAGTAGAAGGCAATAAAGGAGATATTGTGAAACAGATTTATTCCTACATTCTGGAGTGACTGAGTGAACAATCATGAATCTATATTAATTATTAGTCTTCTTAATAAGATGACGCAGTAAAAAAGTAGTACATCTCCTTGTGTAGTGAATATGCAGTGGAAGCCGTTACCGGCCCGGGACCGGGTTTCTATATTATGAGCCTGTCTCTTCCCTCTTCTACCCTGCACTTTTTTTTCCCTCCTCCCACCTTCTCTCTCCTTTTCTCTGTAACCTCTTCACCTGCCTTGTCCTCCTCTTCTCCCCCCCCCCCCCCCCCCCCTTTCTTTTGCTGTATTCGACGTTACAGCAGGACTCACAGTCAGTCTCTCACTGGAAAGTAGGAATACATTATTAGACTATCAGGCTTCGCTGACTTGACTCTCTTCAGATGGATTACGTCGAATACTGCTTCAGCTGGCTCCTGGCCAACAAACGCGGCCGTGACGCAAAGCTTTTCACCAAGGGAGCGGCCTTTGCCGAGTTCCCCAAGCCTACCATCGCGCTTGAATGTGCCTTGGGCCCCTCCGGGTCGACGATGAGCGTGGAACACGGTCCCAGCCCCAAGGGCGACGGACGCTTCCCGACTCTGAAGTGGCCCGCGGGCTCTGCCGAAGTCAAGGAATACGTGATCGTCAGCGAGGACCCTGACGCCCCCTTGCCCAAGCCCATCATTCACGGCATTTACTACGGGATCCCCGCGGACCGGACCAGCGTGGGCCCCGAGGACTTCAAAGCCGGCGAGGCACCTGGCGTCCTCTCGTCGGGCTTCCTGCACGGCAAGACCATGCGCGGCGTGCCCTACATCGCGCCCAAGCCGCTGCTGGGCCACGGCCCTCACCGGTACTTTTACACGCTGATCGCGCTGGGGGAGCCGATCAACCGCGACAAGCTGAGCACTGTCACCACGGCCGACGAGGTTGCCCGCGAAATCGAAGGCAAGGTGGTCGGATGGGGAGAGTGGGTGGGTTCGTTTGAGAGAAAGTGGGAGGAGCGTTAAGTCTGGCGATTGATGTTTTCTACGCTTTACGATTTACGATTCGCTTCGGTTTGACACCAATGGGGTTTCCTTACTAGGTACCTTAAGTTTAGTCGACTCTCAATACCAATACGGGTGATATTCGAACCTGTCTCTGTGCTCAACGTAGCTGTAGATAGTCTTTTTACATAGACAAGCCCTACAATCAAGCCCTACTTGCCTTATCATAACTAACCTTGATTCGTTAGTATGATGGGTCATGAAGGAGTGGACACTGTCGGACTTCAGTACAGGCTCACAGAATATTTAACCAGCACTAGAATACCGCAATCACTATAATAATATATATATATATATGTATATAGCATATATTCTATTTATATATCAAGCTTCTATTAACAATTATCTTAATACTCTCTGCACTACTCCGTAATAGTTATACTACATATTCCAGAATAGCCGAGCTTACCCTTTCCAGCTGTCTCGGATCCTTCCATGGAGCCATCAAGATGACGCGTCCTGTAGAGTCTGTACTATATACAGAGTACGGAGTATGGACTTATTAGTTATGCAGTGATTATGTACTGTGTACGAACAAATATTTAAATGTCTGCTGTGACTAGCACCGCCTGCATGAGTTTCTGCAGGTAGGCTTGATCATGATAGATAATAAATCATAACAGTAGAATTCCTAAATTACTCAGTTATAGTTATCTACCTGGTAATAAAGTACTGCATACTGCATACTGCATTCAATAACTATTGATCGGCTATTGTTGCCAGTCGGCTCGGGTCGGCTGCCGAGTACTTTTATTACTGACGGAGTCCCAGGTACAGAGTACAACTAAGAAAGAACATTATAATATAACTAACTACCTAGCTGTAGTCTATACAGAGTAGTAGTTAACTGGTTACTATAACTACCTTTATGAGTCAGTCTTATTATTCTCCTAAAGAATGTACCTGTAAACCACATAGTTACTCTGTACTGGTTGTACAAGAATGTCTCATTCGACGCGTTTTAGCGTCAGCCCAAAAAAAAAAACCCCTAAAACCTGCTGGCTGCGCTAAGAATAACTTCAATCCACTTCAACCCACTGCAGCCTACGCCTTCTCGTCATCAAGTCGATCGTTTTTAGACCCTCGTCTCTCGTCTCCTCTTTTTATCTCGACCCTTCCTCCAACCTTCACTGCATCCCAGCTTTCATCACTCGCCCAATCTCAAACATCATGCGTCGCTTCTTGCAGCTTCTGCTGCTCGCTGTCCTGCTGGCTGTCGCTTGTGCCGTCCCCGCCGAGACGAACAATGCAGCTGCAGACCAGGACTCAGCCGCAAGTAAATCCTCCTCCTTCCAAGAGCTTCTCTCCTCCTTCGATCCCGATTCCCTCCACGAAGCTCTCCATGTCTGGTCCGCCAAGTTCCGCCATGGCATCTTCCCGAGCTACGCTAACGCCGTTGAAGCCCTTCACGACGAGGACGCCTCGCTGGCGGACCGTGTCTTGAAGATGGCCAGACGTCAGGACGCTGGGGGCAATTCCAGCGTCACTGCTACTGCCCCGTCCACCACCACCGTCACCTCCACGGCTGAGACGACGGTCTCGACCGAGGCCAGTGAGACCAAGCCGACCGAGACTACCACCAGCACTACCAGTACTAGCACCAGCTCTACCAGCACCAGCTCTACCAGCACCAGCTCTACCAGCAGTAGCACTACCAGCACTTCAAGCACCACCAGCACCACTAGCACCAGTACTACCAGCACCAGCTCTACGTCTACGACGTCGGTTCCACACACCACCTCTGCAACCACTACATCCGAGAGCACGACGTCGACGTCGACCAGCACGGCGCCCTCCACCTTCACCACGTCGACCAGCTCGACCAGCTCGACCACGTCGGAGGCGACGACCACCACCTCGTCCACCTCGCAGCGTACTACCCCGTACACCTCGACGTACAAGAGCACGACGACCCTCGCCAACGGCAGTGTCAGCACCGTCACGGCCGTGACTGTCGTCTACCCGACCGTCTCCACGACCACGACGGCCACCGGCACGCAGGCCTCACCCGGTCTGCAGACGGGCAACGCCGCCGCCGCCAACTCGGCGGGCCTCACCAAGGAGATTTTCGCCATGGTGGGCGGCGCTTTCGCCGTCGCCATGGTTTTGTAATCTTTTTTGTGTAGTTGTCCTAGGGTGGCTTCACCCTGTCTGTTCAGCATCTATGGCGTTGTTTTGTGTATCTTGTGTTCGTGTCTTATTAGCATCCCACTCTTACGATCCTTTGCATAGCGTGTCGGCGTCTTGACGGCATGCTGAATATAGATATGATTGTCCTATAATGAATCTCTGTACTTCACTTCCAACTTCTAATCAGTCATCATTCATTATATATATATATATATATACCGTACTAGTAGTAACTAGTAGTAGACTATCACTAGTTCATGTTCCACCGCTCTTCCATAGTAAAATATCTGACCAGACTCTCCCACCCCGCGACATCGCCGTTGCGCAGGAGATTCGCGACATCCAGATTCAACGGCGAGTCCGGCCGCGGATCCGTCAACAACTGCTGCACGGCCGTCAAGGTCGTCGACAGCGTGTACACGGGACTCCAGTGCTCCGAAGTCAACAGCGTCAGACAGATCTCGCCCGTTTCAAAATGGATGTTCGGGTGGCAGATGCGGGTGGTGAATCGGATGCTCGGGGGGGTGAGGGGGTATGTTTCTGGGATGCGGATTCGTAAAGCCCACAGGCCGCCTGATGTACAATTAGTAAACGCATAATAAACGCATAGAATATGTAGTATAAGGTAATGTCGTACCCTCGTAAGGACTGTCTTTGACTCCCTTGAGAACAGCCTCCCAGTCTAACAGGTCGTTGTCTGTGACGGGACCAAGGTGCAGCAGCGCGTCGTTGGGGGAGGCCGCGTACTCTTTCAGCTCGCGGAGGAGGCGTTGTGTTGTTTGCGGCGAGGCCATTTTTTTTTTTCTTTTCTTTAAAAGTGATCTAATTAGATAATGACTAGCGAGATATTGATTAATAGATATATGGATGTTATGATGGGGGATGAGGTGAAAGATGAAGTGGCGCCGAGGCTGACCTCGAGCCAGTCACCTTCGAGTGAACTTGCTGACCACAACTTCTGAAGTACAGAGAACTTCTACTTCCTCCTTCCTACCCACAACATGCGTACCTCTCGGATCGCAAAAGAGACGGATAAAATGCTACACGCTCTTCCTACGCTGCCTCCACGCCGCACACGTCGGCTCGCTGCCTTTGCGTTGGACCCGACCGACTCGGACTCCTCGCTCTCCTCCATCGACACGGTCGACATCGAAGACATTCTGCCGAGAAAACGTCGCAGAATCACAGCGGAGACAGTCAAAAACGAAGGAATCAAGAATGAACCTGAACCTGAAGTCAAAGAAGTCAAACAGAACACAAAGGAAAAGAAAAAAAGGCTCCCCGCCCGCAGGATCAAAGGCGCCGACGGCAGCGTGACGGTCTCAGCCCCTTCGAACTGGGAGGTCATCTACGAGACGGTCAAGAAGATGCGGGCGGCGAACCCGACCGCCCCGGTTGATACAATGGGCTGTGCGGAGCTGCACTGGCGGGCGAGCGCGCCCAGGGACCAGCGCTTCCAGACCCTGATTGCCTTGATGCTCTCGTCGCAGACCAAGGATACGGTTACCGCCGTGGCAATGCAGCGGTTACATACTGAGTTGGGGGTAGCTAAGGAGACTTCGGTCAAGGAGGAGATTCCAATCAAGGAGGAGACTTCAATCCAGGAGGAGACTCGAATCAAGGAAGAGACTCCAATCGATATTCCAATCAAGGAAGAGAGGTCAGCGGAGGAAACCCCAATCAAGGAGATTCCAATCAAGGAAGAGACGCCAATTAAGAAAGAAGACAGCACTCTCAATCTCGCCAACATCCTAGCTGTCTCACCCGAACGACTCAACGAGTTGATCCGCACAGTGGGCTTCCACAACAACAAGACGAAATACATCAAGGCGGCGGCCCTGATCATCCGCGACCAGTACGGCGGCGACATCCCCCCGACGGCGACGGAGCTGATGAAGTTGCCCGGCGTGGGCCCCAAGATGGCGTTCCTGTGCATGAGCGCCGCATGGGGCAAAACAGAGGGGATCGGCGTCGACGTGCATGTCCACCGCATCACCAATCTGTGGGGGTGGCATACCACGCGCACGCCCGAGGAAACACGCCTGCAGCTCGAGGCATGGCTGCCGAGGGAGAAATGGCATGAGATCAACAAGCTGCTCGTTGGGCTGGGGCAGACGGTCTGTCTGCCTGTCGGGCGGCGGTGTGGCGAGTGCGATCTGGCAGGCACGAAGCTGTGCAAGAGTGAAGTGCGTGGATCGAAGCGGTAGGGGATCTGGATCTGGCCAAGGAGTCTGTTCTTGCAAAGTCGTTGAACAGGACTGATATGGTCTGTACATTATTTTCGCTGTATACTACATGTACATAATACAAGTCTATCTCATAGACAGAACTATTATCTTCTTCTATTTACTGTTTGGACCATGAATTGATATGGAGAATATAATATCCGAATATCAGTCTCCGTCTCATGAATTGAATCAACATATTAAGTACCTAAGCATGACAATAAGATCTATAGACTATATACCTCTTAATACTACTCTATTGTAAGCTGACACCTCAGGCAGCAACTTACTAAGCATGATCTCACCAGATAGTTAAACTAACTACCTTTTATTCTATATCTAATAGTTACTCTGTACTGCCCACTCGGTAAACAATTAGAAGACGAGCACTGAACAATGAACCCCCCCCTCTTCGCACAGACGACGCTCCACCTCCTCCAACACGAACACGACGCCGAGATCTCCTCGTCGACCCTAGCCAACACCGCTGGGTCTGTGTCCCCCGCAACCCGGCGCACCCTGCAAGCAACAGGCCATGCGTTGACGGGATTGATACTTTCCTCATGTCGGACGGGACTGGGCGGACGACTGGTCGGCGAGTTTGGCGCTGATCCCGCGATCATCCCTGCGGGTAACGAGGAGGGGAAGATCCGGTTGCCCTCTCATGGAATCCGGGTGGGGGATATCGTGCGGGTGAACGACAGCAATACCAAGAAGAGTACCTTGAAAGAGAAGGAGAAAAGGGAGGTGGACAAAAAAGGAGGCCCGGAAGGGGTGGTCACCCGGGTGGGCGAACGGAGTGTCTGGGTTGCGTTTGGGCAGAGGGGGGGAACAACTGGCCGGGCAAAGGAGGAGGATGAGGCGGTTGAAGAGCTGTGGGGGAAGAAGCTGTGGCTGTACGTATGGCTACCTAATCTATATACATATCCAACTGTGTTGACTTTTGTATTTTCTAGTCTTAAACTTGCAAACGATGTCACTTTTCGACGGTAGGTTGGTTACGATGACAAGGTGAGTGACGTTCTGACCAGCCAGGATGAACCAGACGATGGAGAAGATGGCCAAGATGGGAGAATCAGAGTATACACACTTGATCCGCGTGGCGTTTGGGCAGACGACCCCTCTGTCCGCCACCGACGCGGGCGACGAGACCCCCGACTTCTTCGACCCGACGCTCAACGACTCGCAGAAGGAGGCCGTGCGGTTCGCCCTGGCTGCGGGGGAGGTTGCTCTCATCCACGGCCCGCCGGGCACGGGCAAGACGCACACGCTGATCGAGCTGATCCGCCAGCTGGTGCGGCGCGGGCTGCGCGTGCTGGTCTGCGGGCCGTCCAACGTCTCGGTGGACAACATCGTCGAGCGCCTGGTGCCGCACGGGGTGCCCGTCGTGCGCGTGGGACACCCGGCACGTCTGCTTCCCTCGGTGCTGGACCACTCGCTCGAGGTGCTCACGCAGACCTCGGACGCCGCGGCCATCGTGCAGGACGTGCGCCGCGAGATGGACGAGAAGCAAGCCAGCATCCGCAAGACGCGGACGGGCCGCGAGCGCCGTGCCATCTACCAGGATCTCAAGGAGCTGCGGCGCGAGTTCCGCGACCGGGAAGCCAAATGTGTCGACAATCTGGTCCGCGAGAGCAGTGTCGTCCTGGCCACCTTGCACGGCGCCGGAAGCCACCAGCTGCGCAACCAGCGCTTCGACGTCGTCATCATCGACGAGGCGAGTCAGGCGCTCGAAGCGCAGTGCTGGATCCCGCTGTTGCCTGCTTCCAAGGTTGTCCTGGCGGGCGACCACCTGCAGCTCCCGCCGACGATCAAGTCCGACCGACCGAAGACAGGCGACAGGGTCCAGACTGCGCTGGAAAGGATGATGGGCGATCTCAGCGTGCAGGACGGGGAGGTCGCCCGCAAGATTGCTCTGCAAACGACGCTGTTTGATCGCCTGTTGGCGCTGCACGGCCCGGGCATCAAACGGATGCTGACGACGCAGTACCGGATGCACGAGCGAATCATGCGGTTCCCCTCTGACGAATTGTACGAGGCCAAGCTGGTCGCCGGGGAGGCCGTGCAGGCGCGGCTGCTGACGGGCTTACCGTACGAGGTCCAGGACACGGACGACACCCGCGAGCCCCTCGTCTTCTGGGACACGCAGGGCGGCGACTTCCCGGAGCGGAGCGAAGGCGACGAGATGGGCAATCGCCAAGCCCTCCTGGGGGGCGAGAGCAAGAGCAACGAGATGGAGGCAGCCGTGGTCGCGCGCCACGTCGCCGCGCTGGTCGCCGCGGGCGTGCGGCCGGACGACATCGCCGTCATCACCCCGTACAACGGGCAGCTGGCGGTGCTGGCGCGGCTGCTGCGCGACAAGTATCCGGCCCTGGAGCTCGGGAGTGTTGACGGCTTCCAGGGTCGTGAGAAGGAGGCTGTCGTCGTCAGTCTGGTGCGCAGCAACGCCGAACACGAAGTGGGCTTTCTGGCCGAGAAGAGGCGGTTGAACGGTAACTACCACGAGTTTAAGAGTTTTTTTTCTTCCCGTTCTTAAGAAGCAGATACTAATTGACAGTGGCCATGACGCGGCCCAAACGCCATCTGTGCATTTGCGGTGATTCCGAGACCATCAGTCGGTAAGTAGTCGAACTTCCCAGACGAGCGCGGCCTGACTTTTCGCAGGGGCAGCAGTTTTCTGAAACGATGGATGGCCTTTCTCGAAGAGCACGCAGATCTCCGCTATCCGGATGCCAGCGAGCTGATGTAGAGATTCAAGACTTCTGGTTTGCAATGGTCGCCAACACCAAAGCGCTATGACTAGAGCAAAGATTCATTCTCTATTTTGAAGGGCAATGCATCACTGTGTTAGAAGAATATATTTAATTGGATGATCAGGTTGTGTAACTATACAGTTAATCTTATGAGAATCCGATCTTCATAATCCTGTGGAGCCAGATCAAACTTATTATGGAATCAGAATTGTCTAAAGTTAGCAATCTGCTCCATACCTACCGTATACTCCGTAGTTCTTCGCTCTTGTGGTTTCTTTTCTCCAAGGACCGTTCGCCTGATCGTGCAACATTCCAGTTTCAGACGGGCCTTGTAAGGTGTCTCGACTCTTACTCCGTACCTGCGGACTCCGGAGTAGGTAGACACCGGACAGGAGGTTCTTGGGCCCTCTAGATTTGCATCGCTGGCACCACAGGACACTGCTGGTCAACCAGTGGAGCCCTGGAGCGATCCAGAGTTGGTTTCCGACCCCGAACGGAGCGGATCGTGGTCTGGTCGGTCCACTCAACCTACTATTTAGTAGCAAAGACACGGTATACGCACGGAGAGCAGTGATTAGCCACCGGAAAAGCCACGGTCGGTTTCCATCACGATGTCCTACCGTCGATAATGATGACCGAGTAGATGAGAGATGAGATTGATCGGCTCGTCTCCTCTGAAACACGAGGCAGCCCGCAGATGCGCCCTGCCAATCGTGTCGTGCAGCGTGGTTCCCTCCGGCCCTTCTGCCACCGAAACAGCCGCATGGAGACAAAGAATGCCGGCTTCTCAAGCGTCGTTTCAGCCCCAGTGCACGCACGGCTTGTTTCTGGAAGCGTGGAGGGACGATCGGTCGGTCGGGGGGGAACCTCCTCGAGAGGGGGGAGGCGAGGCAGATTTCGACCTGTGAGGAAAAAGAAAACACACGGTTAGCCTCATTCCTTGAAATCCTCTTCCCCCGAGACTCAGCTGTCTTCCTCGATAAATACCACCGACTTCTTTAATCCAGACCATCCACTCCTGGCATTCGCCCAGGGGGAGCAACCAGCGGTGGGGAGGAAGAGGAGAACAAACCGAACGTGGCTTGGTCGCTCTCAACTTAGCCCCTTCCAGACGCTTTTCGAGTCTCCCTCGACCGTCAGACGGCGGGCCACCACCCCCTGGCCGTTATCTTGCCAGCGCCAGCGCCAGTGCCGGTGCTTTCTGCACTGCTCTTTCATTCTCCCTGGTCGTGTTCCATCTTCAGTTCCAGTTTCCACTTCGTCGGGCGTGCCTGTGGCTCAAGTCGGTCTTTACAGAGCTGCCTTTGTGCTGCTATCCGAAACAGCGGCCTATCGCGCCTGCTGCTATCCACGTCCTTCGCTTATTACACCACCACGCCTAGGGATTGATTATTATTAATTAACTAATACCGTTCATTCCTTCCGTCGCCTCTCGTTTGACTCTCGCTTGCTATATGATTACTACTGCTCACTCGCTGACGTTGCGAATCGAATCCTCCATCCACTGTTGCGAGATTCGCTGCCCGCCTCTTCTTTTGCCCCGATCATGGCTCTGGTAGACGTCTGTGTGGTCTGTGTTTGCTCAACCTGCTGGTATCGTTCTATGCTGACTGGGGCTTTGCTTTGATAGTCGCTCTGGATCCTCTCGTGCCACAACTAGTAGTAGGCAGACATACCTCGAAGCAAGGGCAGGAGAGGGGCTGCCCCCTCGTATATCATCACATCACTTGTTGACTTTGTTGACTTCTGGACGCTCGTTTTCGACTTGTTTATGATACCTCGATATTGATATAGTTGAGATTCTTTCTTCTTCTTGGCATCAACGGATCTTTCCCTATGATCGCCCGCTGCTGCTTGTTCACCCACCCTGTTGCCTCGCTATGTCTCGCGTACTGCAGAGCCCCCCCCCTCACGATCCGTTAAGGAACCACAACTACCCCCGCCGACCTGCGGACGCAAGCTACGATCCCGGTCTATCGGCTCTGGCCTCGAATCCACTCAACACCTCGCCGCGCCGACCGCTGCGCCGCTCCGAGTCCTCCGTGTTTGACTCTTCCCACGAGGTCCCCGGAACCACGGCGCTGCCCCAGCGCCCAGCATCTCCGTTGCACGGCGGCGCACGAGGCACTGTCTCGGGCCACCGACGCACGGAAAGCACCTTGAAAACGGTCATGCGCAAGATCTTCAGCCGTAACAAAAGACGCAGTGACGCCGACGACGACGGAGACGACCTCATCTCCCATCCGTCTATCGAACGTTCACCCGGGCCGCCAACTGGTCTGTCCAACGGACTGTCAAACGGACTCTCCACAGGACCCCCCGGGGGAGGCACGTTCTATCAATCCCCTCGCACGCGGAGCACTACCACTACCGACAGTGGGAGTCCGCTGTACAAGCCGGATTCCCGTCACATCGCCCCCCGTGGTGACCTCCGCGGTACCCCTCACCAATCCCCCAAACTCTTAGAAAGTATTCCCGACCAGCTGGAAGAGCTGCCGCCCCCGCATCGGAGGCGTCGTGCGACGCTTCCAAGTATGGTGTTTCCAGATGATGACGCGCGGAGCATACTGGCGGACATCGTCAACCACGACCGTCTCACTAGCGATCATGAATCCCAAAGTAGGGCCAGCAGCATCCAAAATGCCTCCGGGACCCGCAGCACGTTGCAGTCAAAACGACGCTCTCGTAGTGCGACTGCTCTGCGTGCGGCTGCCAGGGGCCACCACCGCATGTCGCCCATCCAGTGGCGACGGTCCAGCGCTGACGCCAGCTACAAGGCACCTCCGACACCGTTTGAGACAGCCTCGGTCACCAGCTACTCGATTCGCCCGCCCACCCGCACGACCGTGGGCACCGAGTCCAACTGGACCGAAGCCGAGGTCCCCAGCTCCGAGACGGCCCCCGTTGAGACGGAGACAGAGAGTGTGGCCTACGACGTCGGCCAACTGATGACCACGATCCAGCACGGAGATAACGTGACTCTCGAGCAACGATTGACTACGCTCGAGGTCAAGCTGATCGACCTTGAATTCGCCATTGCCCGCATGCAAACCCACCAGTGCCCCGAGCCATCGTCCCCATCTGGCGACAAATCAAAGGTCAAGAAAGACTTGCAGGGCCACACGCGCAACAAGGAGTCGGACTCGATCCCGTCGACAAAGAGCGAGCCGGTCGAGCATCTGCACCCGCCTCCGCCGCCCCCGCCACCGCGGGAGGACCGACCGGTGAGCACGAGCACAGTCCGGCCGACGACGGGATACCGCTCGCAGATGCTCCGGATGGCGCCTTCGATGAGCTCGATGCGCGACTTTGACGGCATCTCCGTGGAACAGTACAGCGCGCTCGTCACGCTGCTCCGGCGGGAGCAGAGCGCGCGGCGCAACCTGGAGACACAGGTGGCGACAATGCAGGAAGACATGCGCCGGCTGCACAAGCTGCTGGGCACGGGGCCGATGCACCCTGTGCGCAACTCCGACTCACGCGACTTTATCAACTTCCGCCGGGCCTTGGATGCCTCGCGAGGGATCTCCCCTGCACACACCGATGAGAATATCGGTGTGATCTACGATAGTGATTCCGAGATTGAATAGCCTATCGCTTATTTACAGCTGGCGCTATACTGCCAGCCCATCCTACATCTACCACTGCAGCTGAGCTGTCGGCTTTTTTTTTTTTTCCACCTCATGAGTCATTCCCAGTCACAGGGAGAATGACACGTTACTTGCCTCTTGCCACTGCCTCTCAAGCTTCAAGCTTCAGCCTCGAGCTTCGAGCTTGGATATTTTATTTCGATGCCCATTTGTCATCCTACTGCAGCTTACCGCTCCTTATACCCTCCGCACCGGCTGCGCCTGTATTCCTCTCATCTGTCTAATGACCTGATGTTCCATTACTCTGGCAATAGTCTTAAGCTAAAATACAATATTGAAGCATTATAATACAGTCGGGACAACCACTAATCAATCTCCACGCGCTTCCCATAGACCAGAGCCGTCCGTCCAAAGAGGGAGCCGAGAGCGTATCCGATATAAGCGCCTGTAAGAATTGTAATCGGGAATGCCTGCCACGGACGGTCCCTAGGAAGTTAGTACAAGTATTAAAAGAAAGAAAGAACACCAGGAAGAATACCAATCAAGCGGAATCGGAATGGCACCCAGCCAAGCACCAACACAGGTGCCCAGGGCACCCCCCCAGACGGCATCCAGGGGACGAGCAAACGCCCAGACGTCCTTCCAGACCGCGCCGTCGACGCCATGGACATACACGAGCGGGACGGAGGAGAGGAGGGCCATGTGTGCGGCACAGAGCATCGTGTGAGCCTGGTGGGTTGTCAGGGGGCTTCCGAAGAGGACGAGCAGGGCGGCAAGAACGGGTGTTGCCAATGAGATGGACAAGAATAGGGAGAGAAGGGCGGGCTAGCCATTAGCATCAGCAACATTCAACAGATATATATATATGTATGTATGTATGTATGTATGGTAAATGTCTTACAACTAGTTTCAGGGAAATCCCCGATTCAACCTTTCTCTTCTTCTTGCGGGACCCAGGCGACGAAGCACCGCTGTTGGTAGGAGTGTCGACAGGCGCTGACCCCGCGGCGGGGAGACAAATCACCGCATAACTGAGTTGCAGGACGGCAAGGAGCGGGATCGTGCCCAGCAACTCGGTGACGGGGTCGGCGACCAGGGAGGGGAACCGCGCGGCGTACACGCTCAGCAGGAGGGCGGGATGCAGGTACGAGTAGATCGTGGCGGGTTGGGTGGCGAGGATGCCCACGGGGCCTGGGGTGGCTGCTGGGCTACTGCTGCTGCTGCTGCTGCTGCTGCTGCCTGCTGTAGAGGGGGGATTCGGCGGTGTCGAGGTCATCTCGTTCTTCTGATGAATGGGTGGGAGAGTTGAATTGTGTAGTGAATGGAGTGAATGAGGGTGGTAAACATTTCCGGTCCATGCCGAGCTTCATTTTTCTGTTTGCATTGTTTGCATTGTTTGCATGACAGGCAGAGAGTCCTATTACTAAGTAAGAAGTATACTACACCAGAGTAGTCTTACAGCTAGTATACTACAACTACTAACGTAGATTGTTGATAATACATCGTTCATGATCATGATGGAGGGGTACAAGGGGGTATGTAAACGAAACAGCAACCGAGAAGCAAAAGGGCAGCAAGTCAAAAAACCGGCTGGTACAGGCCAAGATGTCAAAAATACAGCAGATCGCCCTCGACAATAACTACACAATTCGACAGATGGAGGGAATGCCCTCCAAGGCGTTATCCAACAAAATGAGGTTGGTCATGAGGTTTTTAGGTGGACGCTGTCGGATCACTCTGGATCGGTTCTGAGAATGAGTCTGTCGCTGCGACTGTTTCCACCTTTGCTTCTGGGGTGGCTGTGACAGCGGCATCGAGAGGTTCCATCTTTGCCTCAGATACAGCGGGAGCATCAGCAGCAGGAGCAGAAACATCGGTAGCCTCAGGAACAGCAGAAGTATTGACGGCAACACTATCAACAGGAACATCGGCTGCAGGAGCAGCAACAGGAGCAGCAGCAGGAGCAGCAGCAGGAGGAACAGTATCAGTAGCTTTGACAGCATGTGGAACGGCGGTAGTCAGCTCTGGAGACGGCGGCTCTTCCGGGATGACAGGCGGAAACCCCGAGGTCACCGGCGGAGACATGGGCGGGCTGGCGATGGGACTACTGCCGAAATTTGGCTCCCGATGGAGGTCCATAGGAACAGGCTTGACGGGTTTGGCCGTCTCCGTGCCGTTCGGGGCAAGGATCTGGCTCGAGACGGAGCGGCCGCCGTCGGAGGGAGTCGGGCTCTTGGCCCGTTCGCGCTCGGTGTCCCAGTCTTTGACGACCCCCTCGCGCACCTGAGCAACCTTGGCTCGAAATTTGCCCAGCAGACTCTTCTTCTCCGGTTCGGACGAGTCCCTCGGGGGGCTGGCTGCACTGCTGCCGCTGAGTTCGGAGTTGAGACTGATGGGGTGGTTGGACGGGTCGGGCGGCGGCGGCGGCGGCGGCGGCGAGGTTTTGCTCGCGTGGTGTAAGCTGCTGCCAAACGAGCTGTTGCTCTGCGTCGCGCCAGGATTGACGGCTATGAGGGGCGGCGAGCCGAGACCCAGGCCGATGTGTTCGTTGCTGCTGCGTTTCGCCGACCGCTGAAAACGCCAGCTCCGCCGGTGATCCTTATTGCGGTCGGATTTGGACGAAACCGCCGCCTCCTCTGGCTGGTCGAAATCGGAATGGTCCGTAAAGGAGGACCGTGAGTTCATCGACGGCGTCCGGGATCCATGGGGTCGCAACGTGTTCTCCGACACATGGCTACTCTCCGTCTGGGCGGATGCGGTGTCCCGGCCGTTGGGGTCGCGTTTAACCTGCGGCGTGGTCTCATTATTATTCTCGAGCAGACCGGTTGTCGCGCGGGGTGTGGAATCCGCCGCGCCACCAGGCCCATCCGGGGAGCTTCTAGGTACGGACATTAGGGTGGAATCAGCGATCACGGCCTGGAGCGACTGCGACGAGCTCTGCGCGCTTTCATTCGCACTGCCGGGGATCCGCTTCTTTCGCAGCCGGTTGGGCTGTCGGCCCTCTCTCTGGTCCCCGCTGGGCGGGGATTTGCTGAAGAAGCTCGACAGCTTGCGCTCCTTGGTCGGGGTGACCAGCGGGGGTGGAGGCAACGTTGCCATCGCCGTCGAGGCATCTGGTAAGGTTTGTTTCAAGGCGATGAAAGAGGGCGCCTCCGCCGAATTGACGGGGATTGGACCATGTGTGGAAGTATGGATATATACGGTGCCCGGTGTCGAGGTCGTGGACGGCACTTCACTGGGGCCACTGCCGCCAGCGGTTACAGACTGCGTCGACGAAGTCTGCTGCGCAGGCTGCGCAGGCTGCGGCGGCGGCGGCGGCGGCGGTGGCGGCGGAGGAGTGCGACTGGCAGATCGACTGGCAGAGCGCGAGTGCGCAGCCGATGCAGGGTTGAGGGTCGAGACTTGCGGAGGGGGATTGTTGTTATTGTTTACCGTTTCTGCTGTAGGTCGGTTGTATCGGGAATGGGACAAGGCGGGGGACATCTTGGAGGGCAGGGTATTGCTGCGATGGACGCCACTCCCCGTCAAGGAGGTCGGGGTACCCGGACTAGGGGCATTGCTAGATTGACGGGAGTTCCGTGACGAGACGGAAACGTTCCGGCGGAGATTGGCCGACTTGCGCAGGCCATCCGTGCCGTTGCTGGCGCTGGAGACGGAGCGGCGGATGCTAGTGGTGCGAGTGGCGTTTGGGCGCGGCGCAAGGCCGGACTCGACCTCCTTCATGGTCTCCTCGTCGGCCGCGGTGCCGTTCATGCCGAAGAGGAAATGATCCTGGTTCTCGATGAGGAAGATCAGAACGTCCTGGCTCAGCTTGTACTCGTCGGGCGACATGTCGTGCTGCGGGTGGGAGAGCAAGCCCGGCTGAAAAATGGCGGACAGGTTGGCGGAGGTCATGCGGTTCTGGTCGGACTTGGAGGCGAACACGGCGAGCAGGTCGAGGATGTAGAGCAGCAGCTGCTTGTTCAGCGGCGGCAGCTCGCGGATCAGCTGCTGGTAGGTGGCGACCGCCTTGGGGTGGTCGAACTTGTCGGCGTCCGCAACTGGAGCCTGCTCGGAGGTGGCTTGGACTTGACGCTGGTAGATGCGCAGCGGTTCACGGAAGCGCTCGTAGAATTCAAGCGGGACGATGGGCTCCGGCAGCTGGTTCAGATAGCGACGCAGCACATTGGCTGCATCGTGAACCGTGTATCCCGACCAGTCCAGCCCCTTGCCGTACCGTTCGGGGGAGTCGAAAATCTCCTGGAGATCCTTTATGCGCTTCGCCGAGCCGTTCAACCGAAAGATACCCTCGACGTCGGTCGCTGCAGGGAGAAAACAAGACCGGAAGGGTTAGCCCAGCTGCTCCCGACCGGCCAACAACCCAAAGGGAACAGAACACACCTTTTTCTTTCAGGAAGACGCCACACTTTGCGACAACGATGGGCACATAGCCATAGATGAAACTTCCGCCGTTATCGTTGGTCAAGGAGATGGCGACGTTGGCGTACTTGATGCTCACGTTGAGAGGGACGCCGAAGATACCGCGCGCGACTTCTACTTACATTAACCATTAAACCACAGATAAAAAAAAAAATCGTAGAAAATAATCGAACGCACCTTCAGGCTCCTCCTTGCGAGTATTTCTCTTGAACTGCCTCCACCAGGATGCCAGGTCTCGTTTGGAGGGGGGCGAGGTCGCGATCGCCTCGTGCCGGGCAGGCGTGGGCGCGAAATGGTGCAGATGGTCAGCGCCCGGCTGCGACTTGCCAGTCACCATGACGGGCAGAGGAATACGCTGAATTGACGATGTTTCGATGCTGGATTGGATGCTCTGACTGGAAAGAGGGGGTTGGATGATGCGAAAGAAAAAAAAAAAAAGAAAATAACAGAAAAGAAGAAGAAAAAAAGGGCGTCTGTCTGGTCGCTTCGATGCGGCGAGAGAAAATCTGGGGCTGGGGAGAGTCCCAAAATAGCACAGCTCGCAGGAAGATCGAAAGAACGGAGGGGGCAGAGTCGAGTTATCAACAAATTATCGAAGGACGGCGATGGTTATTTCCTGCGAAGTACCCAAGGACGAGAGCAGAGCGAGAACAGGGCCGGGATCGAGGGGGAGAGAGAGGGACTGAAGGAGGGATGAGATGACGACCGGGAGGAGGCACGAGCGCTGAGCCAACCTCGCCGATGGCGACCTGCTCGACGTCACACGACCCAGCACAGCCGGCAGAGTCGAATGACGCGGATTATTGACTAGCAGAAGACGGGTTTGGGGCGGTTGTGATGGTCGTGATGGTCGTGAGGGAGTGTAGGTCGTAGGCAGGAGGAGGAGGAGGAGGAGGAGAGGAGGAGAGGGTGTTTGCCGACCGGGGGAAGACCAGGATGGTTGAAGGGGCAGGCAGAGGCAGACAGGAGTCAACACGGAGGACGAAGGACGGTTCGACAGACCCAGACCCAGGGATCCTGCGGACCCTGAGGCTGCTACTGCTTGAGACACGGTCGGATTTCTCTGGATTTAGGCCTGCCTGAGATGCTGGCGGTCTGTGAAGTTCCCCGCTGCCTCCACAGAGGATCATTAGTGACTCTGTAACTTAAAGTGAAGTATAGCCACTGAAGTATAACCAGGGGACTACCTATAGTTATAAGCCTTTACCTTAAGCTATCATTGGGTATTGAAATAATAAAATACTTGAATATTCTGAATACAGAGGACAGTAAATAATTCGAAATAGCATGGAGATTTGTGAATTCTTCAATGGAGCCATCTGACAGTCAGATCCTCAACTACAGCTCCGACCCATGGTACGTGAGATGAGGGCGAGGTCGAGAACATCACAGCCATTTTTGGGTAACGGATGGCTGAGGATGGTTCTAGGACGGAATTCCCACTTCTTCTTACGGGCATGCTGTTTCTGGTGACTGGTGACTGGAAGCTGGAGGCTGGAAACACCGGCTGCGACTATGTTCGATTGCAGTAGTAAGACTAGTTAATCTATTATTAGTACAAGTACGCTGCGAGGTACGACTTGGGTACCACTACAGAATCATGCCTACTACTTTAGATAGGTACCTAGGTACTATAACTAGTTATGCAAAGAGCTCTGTAATTCATTTACTCCGAACTGCGTGATAGTCGCTGGAACTATTGAGAGCAATGTGCGGCATGAATATCGATGCCTAATATCGATACGGAATTATCGATGCCTAATATTTATGCCTGGCAGCCTGAGGATAGTAAGTCATGTGGTTATTCACGTGATATACCGCACACGTGACACATGACACGTGATCTCAGAGCCTGCGGTCGTCGATGGATCTCTCCGAGCTCGGGAGCTGAGAGAATAATAAACACAACCCACCACGCACCTCACAATGGAAGGGTACGTCTGGTCAACTCGGTTGAGTATTGCTTAACACTGACTCTCATTCTCTAGACTCACAGCTTCGGAGCAGCGCGAGCTTGCTGCGCGCATGGAGAGGAAGCAGCTGAAGGAATTCATGACCGTATGCTCTCCTTGGAAACGTCGTTATTGGCGATACCCATCCCTCACATCCTATCTATATCATTTATCCATATCAATCACCTATGAAAATTATAATTACAGAATATACGGGCTGACCAAACAGATGTACTCCAAGCTGGTCCAGCGCTGCTTTGACGACTGCGTCAACGACTTCACCACCAAGTCCCTGATCAACCGTGAGGAGGGCTGCGTCATGCGCTGCGTCGACAAGTATCTCAAGAGCTCTGGCCGCCTCAACGAACGCTTCCAGGAGCAGAACGCCGCCATGATGCAGAGCGGCTCTCTGCCTGGTCGGTAATCTTTCCTCCTCGTACGACTGTGGAAGTAGTGTGGACAAGGAATCAAAATAGACCAGAAGGACTACGAAGGAAGCAAGGAAACAGAAACAACGGTGGAAGCTATGTTGGTTTCTTATGTACAATAGATTCGGTGACAGGAATCCCTTGATGGGCGTTATGTAATTCCGGATAACTAGGTAATCAGTACTCCGTAGTTACTCCGTACTCTGTAGGTACTTCACTCACGTAATCACCTCTGTACCTATCTTACAAGAGACACTGAAAACTCTTCTGACTCCAATTTCTAACCCTCTCCGCAGAGATGATTCCCCTCATGAGGGACGGCCGTCGCCCACGGAAACTCACGGAAACGATGCCCTCATTGGGCGAGTTGCGGATCGGGTCGCTCTGATACTCCGTACAGCGAGAAAGGATCGTTTGCCTCGATCTGTCGTGGACAATAGAATATTCTCTATGATTCTATGTACGAAGTAGTACAGAGTATCAACTGGTGTTAAGATAGTAGGGATTATTCTGACTATTATTTTGACTAGGTATATAATGTGGTAATATAAGGTGGTATAAGATTTCTAAACCTAGTGAAGATCATGATGATTAACAACCAGCCACTCCCATAAAATAAATCAACATAGAGAATAAAATATACATAGAATTATTGAACAATCCTCTATTATCCTATGAAATTATTCCTATCTCCTGTAGTCGAGGTTATCTCTCTATCTATCCTGAACAACTTCTGCCCCTCACCACACCCCCCCCCCACTTGACCCCATCTCGTTTTCTCCTCACCAGAACAGACGAGGCCAGTCCCCTGCTTTTAAACCTGCTGGTCTCTCATCCTCTTCTCTCACTTCAGACCACTATCTACGGAGTAACCATGGCTGACACTGTTGGAAAGGTATGTACTCTGCTCAGACTGCCTCGGACTGGCTCTGCCTCAGACCGACTCTGACTGACTTCCTTCATAGACCATCACTTGCAAGGTAAGCTAGGATTAGCACTCCTTCCCATCAAATCATACTCATGATGAAAAAAAAAGGCAGCCATTGCCTGGGCGGCCGGTGAGCCCCTGTCCGTCGAGGACGTCGAGGTTGCCCCTCCCAAAGCGCACGAGGTGCGCATCGAGATCTACCACACTGGCGTGTGCCACACAGGTGAGTCATAAACTCTTTCCAATCGAGGAGAACTTGCAAGACCCTTTACTCACCTATCAGACGCGTATACCCTGTCCGGCAAGGATCCCGAGGGAGCCTTCCCCGTCATCCTGGGCCATGAGGGGGCCGGTATTGTCGAGTCGGTGGGTGAAGGAGTGACCAACGTCAAGCCTGGCGACCACGTCGTTGCTCTCTAGTAAGCACTTTTTCTTTTCTTTTCTTTTCTTTTCTTTTACTTCCTTCTTTTCTCTTTTTTTTATGTCTCGTTTTTTCTTTTTTGGTTAACAATGTAGTACCCCCGAGTGTGGAGAGTGCAAGTTCTGCAAGTCCGGCAAGACGAATCTGTGCGGCAAGATCCGCGCGACGCAGGGCAAGGGCGTGATGCCCGATGGAACGTCTCGCTTCACGGCGCGCGGCAAGCCCATCCTGCACTTCATGGGGACCTCGACTTTCTCGCAGTACACTGTTGTGGCAGATATCTCAGTGGTGGCCGTGACGCCTCGGGCCCCCACTGACCGCTCGTGCCTGCTCGGGTGCGGCATCACGACGGGTTACGGCGCCGCCACGGTGACTGCAAAGGTGGAGGAGGGATCCAACGTCGCGGTGTTTGGCGCCGGGTGCGTCGGCCTGTCCGTCATCCAGGGCGCCGTCAAGAACAAAGCCGGCAAGATCATCGTCGTCGACGTCAACGACAACAAGGAGAAATGGGGCAAGAAGTTCGGCGCCACGGACTTTGTCAACCCCACCAAGTTGCCCCAGGGCGTCTCCATTCAGGAGAAACTCATCGAAATGACCGACGGCGGTTGCGACTATACCTTCGACTGCACCGGTAACGTCGGTGTCATGCGCGCCGCCCTCGAGGCCTGTCACAAGGGTTGGGGCCAGAGCATCGTCATCGGCGTCGCGGCTGCTGGCCAGGAGATTTCCACCAGACGTAAGCTTCTTCCCCTTCTTCCTCTTCTTCTTCTTCTAACCTTTTTAGCCTTCCAACTCGTCACCGGCCGCGTGTGGAAAGGCTGCGCCTTTGGCGGAATCAAGGGCCGCTCTCAACTCCCCAGCCTGGTAGAAGATTACCTCAACGGCCAGCTCAAGGTCGACGAGTTCATCACCCACCGCCAGTCTCTCGCGGGCATCAACACCGCCTTTGAGCAGATGAAGGATGGAGAGTGTATTCGCTGTGTCGTCGATACCAGGGCGTAATTCTTTTCAACCTGGGCCTAAAATTATTTAATAAAAGTATAGGCAGTTCAAACTATTCATTCAAACCGTCCTCTGCAGGAAATGACCTATATGTAATACATTGTCTCTCAAGGTACTCGAGGACCTTGTGGATCTCACTGAGAGTCTGTTATGTCTACAGTCTACTCTACTCATACAAAAGTGAAAGTATAATCATTTTATTGCAGTATGCATGGACGCAACTTCCGCAAGGCGGGGAATGCTGATACGGTTAAGCCCTTGAACGAGCCCTAGAAAAAAAAAAAAAACTTAGAACAGCTTGTGTTCGAGGGTCATCTCCGACTCGGGCTGCAGACCGACGCAGGCACGGAAGATGTTGGTCAGGGCAGCGCGCTGCTTGGCCAGGGCGTTGACGACGGGGGTGCCGGGCGGGGTCAGGGGCGCCTTGAGCATGTAGCTGAGCACGCTGAGCACGCTGTGGAAGCCCTTGAAGTCCTGGGCGGCGGGGTCGGCCTTCCAGCTGATGCGGGTCATGAGCTCGGCGACCACGACCAGGTCGATGATCAGGGGCGAGGCCAGCAGCGAGTCCTCACAGATGTTGAAGAGACTGATGGTCTGGTGGCCGCCCATGAAGATCTCGGCGTAGTACTCGTCGAGGGCGCGCTTGTTGTCGCCGACGGCCGGCATGTACTTGATGACGACGGTGTGGTCCGGGTGCTCGTCCTTGGCGTAGAGGATGTCGTTGGCGGCGACCATGTCGTCGACGACGTTGGACTTGGAGATCTCCTTGGAGCGGAACTGCTTCTGGGAGCTCAGGTTCTTGCCGTCGTTGTTGCCCAGATGGTTGTAGCTGGCGATGGAGGTGAGCTTGATGCCGGCGTTGATCAAGAAGTCCACAAGGGCCGACTTCATCTTGGTCTGGCCGGACTTGAAGTCGTCGCCGCCGATGAAGGCGCCGTGCTGCTCGGCGAGGGCGATGGCTCCGGGGACGAAGGTGTTCTGCGGGGAGCCGTTGATGAAGGGGGTCTTCTCAAGGATACAGGCGACGGCGAAGACGGTGGAGGGGGAGACCTCGTCGTGGCCGGCCTTGATGGCGGCGATGAGATTGTCGGCGGTGTCATTGACGCCGGACAGGAGGTCGGCGTAGCGCTCGGTGTTGGCGGTCCACAGGACGACGACCTTGTCGAGCCCGTTGGCGGCCTTGAAGTCACGGATGTCCTTCTGGATCTGCTCGACGTGAGCCCAGCAAGCCTTGGAGCCCGGCAGGACGTTGTCGGCGCGGTCCTCCTGGTTGGCGGCAATGAAGTCCGGGTAGTAGATGGAAGGCAGGGGCTTGATCTCGGCCATCTCCTTCCGGACGAGGTCCTTGAGGGTGGGCTCGAGCACCTGGGCGCGGTCCATGGCGTCGGCGAGGTTCATGGCGCTGATGTCCCAGCCACCGATGACCAGGTCGTTGGGGTGGACCATGGGCAGCATGTCGTGGAAGGGGATGTTGATCTCCTGGTTGGTCTTGGCGTCGGTACCCAGCTTGACGGTGGAGCTCATGACGACGGAGCCGTAGTAGTTAGAGGCACGGTGGCCCTCGCGAGTTTCCCAGGTAAGACCGCGGCGGTTGGCGATGATACCGGCGGTGACGGTGGAACCATTGTTGCCGCCCAGACCGACGAGCATCATGCCCACCTTGCCAACATGGCGATCGACCTTGAACTGATAGTTGGTGGTCTTGGGGGTTGCCACGAGCTTGCCATCGGCGGTACGGGTGACCTCGGTCGTGTTGTAGGCGTACTGGGTGTTGATTTCGTCGGCGGTGTAGACCACATTGGGGGAGTTGACGGTGAAGAGAGGGGGGGTGTTGTTGGGGCTATCCGACCCGCCATTGGCAGCGACGTCCGCAGTTGCGTGGGGAGCCATTGTGTCTGGGTGAAAGCGGAGCGAGGGAGAGATGTTTCAAGCGCGTGATCAGTGATGAGCGAGGAGACGCCTATCTAATGAACGCGCAATCCGATGCCCCTCCACGGGTGGACGAGCGTCGGCCGTTGAACGGGTGGTGCCGGCTGTACGAGTTAGCAGTGAGATAGAGAGAGAGAGAGAGCGACTGTCTCTGAGACTTACGAGTTGAGAAGTGTGGAGAAAATTGTGACTGATTTCCAGTGATCACGTCTCGAAAGGGAGAGTGATCGGAACAGTTAAACAATAATCAACCGAGGGGAGAGTCTAGAGAAGACGTAGACGATGCTGAGGTGGTGGTTGTGGTGAGAGAGAGAGAGAGAGAGAGAGAGAGAGAGAGGAAGGAAGGGGGGGAGGAGGAGGTTAAATAATGCACTACAGGAACTGCTTAGTAGTACCACTACTACTACTAAGGTACCTTAGGTACACTACTACAGCTGCTACTCCGGGTCAATATGCTCCGTTTTTCTTACTCTACATTTTTCTTACTCTCAGTCCTATTAGTCAAGACAGTGAATAACTACTGTCAATTAACTTCTCTAGTGGTACTGGTACTGGTACTTACTAGTTATACTACATAACGTTGGTCCGGGTAGTTACTCCGTAGTTACCTAAACTACTACCTCTCTGGTATTACCAGTCGATGACTTGTCCTTCAGCTATTAGTTCTCTACAGCGACAATTCATCCTTGTCCTCTTCTGTCGCGCGACAGTCGGTGAAGAGCGTGAAGCTGTAACTACTGCAGGTGGCTGTTATCATACCCCTCGCTAGACCAGTTCAGGCTAGGGCGGCTGATAAGCGAGCCTGACGTGACAAGACAGGGATGGATTATTGGAGTAATTATGGAGTAATCCACACATTGTATGGAGTTTTACTACGGAGTAACTATGGAGTAGTAACTACGGAGTACGGAGAAGTCACGGAGTACAGAGTTCATAATTATGCAGTGTATTATTATTGCGTGCTCATAATACCTACTTGAGACCGGTTTCGCTCTGTTTTCTACCGAGTGCAGAACTATGAGTAATCAGGTACTCCGTACCATCCTAGGTCTCTTTCCTACTTCACTATGTAGTTTTCTTCCTGTCACCCTTCAGATGACTTCATGTAGTATTATATATTATATATTCTCTCCTCTACTACACTGATTAAGACGCATCTCCACAGACTTACTCCGTAGTCAGGTATTATTACCTGCAGACAGTGGACACTCCCACAGGCCATCTGGTGGCCCCCATATCTGGCGGTCTGTAACAATCAGTCTATCTAACTAGTTCAGGTTAGTGACAACCTACGGAGTACTCTCGGAAACTGAAATCGCTCGAGTGGACAGTGAACACTGAACACTGAACAGTGAACAGTCCACAGTCCAGAGTTGACTGGATAAAGTTAGGTAATCAAGGATCATGTGATGTGAGCCTGAGGCAGCAGTGACCATCAAGATTAATCCGAGTAAACACAATTATCCTGCACCTATATAACTAGTAGGTATGTAGTAGTAGTATGTAGTAAGTTAGTAGTGATAACTACCTAGGTAGCTAAAAAGTAACTAAGAATTCCTAATTCTACTAATACTGCTAATTTCTCACCAGTCTACGCGTATCTGCTTCTCCAGACTGTACCTGGTCTTAATTACCCCTATTAATCACGTAAGCCAGGATCAACATGCAGATCACAGGAATCACCAGTCCTCGTACTCCGTACTCTGTAACTCTTAGATACCGCATAACTTAGGAACCTTGTTAAACGGAGTACTGTCGTAACTAGTTGGAATTACTACTCTGCGAGTCGTTGAGTAACTACTTCGTATACTACATACTCCGTAATGCCTTCAGAACACACCTAGGTACCTTCTGAATAGGAGCTATCTTTGGATACGAACGCCTTGCTTGCGAGTTATCGAACGCCACCAGCCCAGGAAAACCCTTGTTTCGCTTTCTTTTTCCTCTGTCTGTGGAGGATTCGTTGGAACATTCCATTTCTCTGCCTCAGGCAGGCGTTTACCCCTGAATGACGATCTTTGGAGCCTGGCGCCGTGTTCCATGGGACGCTCAGGGGTTGTTCACTGGAGAGCTGTCGACTAGGAACTTGAAGAGATGAGAGAAAAAGTAATTAATACTACATACTGTGTAGCAATAACAGACTCGGTGTATATTGTATCTTTTCAAGAATAA